CTGGGAACTGATAAATAAAATTCGTAATAAAGAGAAACATAAGTAATAAAGAGAAACATAACAATTATCTTTGGTTCCATCCTTATGTGGCAAAGAAGCGTTTTATAAATCTTTATTCCACTGGGAAGTTTTTAAAATAGGATAATGTTTTTGATGAAATTGTTTTTAAATATTGTATTTGATAATTAATTAATGTTGGTGGGGAAATATTTATTATATGTTTTTTCACACAGTGCGATGATAGTTTGTAGACATGTGTGGTGATGTGATGTCATAAATTTTACTTTACTTTACTTTACTTTACTTTGGCAAACAGAAACGTGACATCAGACCTATATTTACTGAAGACAATGAAAAGATACCTAATCAGAGAGTTATAGCGAATGAATTCAATAGGTGTTCTGTATCCCTGGTATCTAACCTTAATTAGAGGGATTCAAATAAATCGAAGTTTCTACAACTACTTACATAAATCGAACATAGCTAATATATATCTACATGACTGCTCATCAGAACTTCAAAATGGCAAGGTTCGTATATTTTTAATTCTCTTTGCTGTATTGTATAATGTACTATTTGTAAAAGTTTCGAATCAAATCAACATACCAGTACATGTAGTAAAGGCAGTATCAGGCCTGATTAACCCACTAATATCTGTATTGTACAACGAATCTATCCAACAGGGAGTTTTTTCCAGAAGACCTAAAAAATCAGTGTTACTTTAGAAACTGTCACGATAAACTGCATAATAAACTGAATGATTTTGGGATACGAGGGACTGCAAATAAATTAATATGCAGTCAACTTTCCTGTAATTGTTGTTTTCCGAATATGCAGTATGATCCCTTGCTTTTCATTATCTGTATCAAATGGAGGAACTGTTATTGAATTAGTGTTAGCTGAAGGCCCCATCATCTAAACAAGTTTCTAACATGTGCAAGAACAAGAGAACTTGACAACCAGGCACTTGACCATACACATTCTTCCAACTAGAGCACTTTAAACCACTTTTCAAGCAACAAAACATCCTGGCTTTCAAAAAATGTATATACATATCACACAATTATGGAAGTTTTCGAAATACTAAAATTAAGGTGCCCAGTATCACTGCAACAGCATTATCAGAAATCTTCTAGAAATAAAACCACTTTCATTTCACAACTCCCAACTAATGACCTTGTATCAAGATCCACCAAAATTTGGAGCACAATTTTACCTAAACTTAAGTTTCTTGACTACTCCTAGAAGATTAGCCTTGCTGAAAGAGTGGGTACGAAAACCCCTTCGTGCCAAAAGAAGAACAGTGGTACAGTTAATGCTTTTTCAGTAAAGGGCTCAAGCCAATTATAAGTAATCGGTAATATAATGATTCTAGTGTGCAAGGTTTTGTAAATGCGCGGCACCTTCAAGTTGATATCAGCTCGGTGCTCATCCATTTATAATTAGCTTAAACTTGTCATACGTTGCAAGCCTGCTGCGCGGCCTCGCACTAACTTAGTGAAAGTAGTAAAACGTCTAAGGGGAACGTGAGGTAATATAATGCATACAAACCTAAACTAATAAATTCAAAATAAAACTTTCAAAAAATCATGCCGATGAGAATAATTTTTTTACAAACTTGTTTTTGAAATGTAAGATATATAATCAATAATAGAGACCAACAAAACATATTAAATATATGTGTATATATAGATATCATAGATAACCATAAAAAGCCGCGCGTTGGCTGATTGCCTTTTTACAAAGTTCGATGATACTTTATAAAAATGTGAAATGATGTTATGTCATAAAATTTATTTTACTCTTCTTTCCTGTACTAATAGACCCTGCGCGGCGCTTATTTGTGGAGGCGTTTGCGAAGGCCGGGTGATGTGGTGGTAACATAATTGCCTCCCAAGCAGAACACCCATGTTCCAATCCGGTCGGATACAAGTCGGCCAAGCTGTGATTTAATACAGTTTTGGCTGTTGATACACACTCTCTGGCTCGCAGTACTAATCCTTTACAGTTAGTAAAGTGCCCGGCACAGATAAGAGTGGCTTAGGGTTTCTGAAAAGGAGATAGGCACCTCAGGCCATCCCAACGTTCGGAAGTGACCTGCCCTTGAATCTGTATTGCTTGCGACAGGCTGAGTATTTCGTTGAATTGCAACATTTTATTTATGTATAAATATAAAATAACATGTCCTGGTTGTTTATATATGGCAAATTTAAAAAATCATTTTAAAATTCTCCCAATAAATGAAAATTAATAAAAATTGTATTCTTTTTTTGCTATCAATACATTGATTAACAATGTCACCCAATTAAAATCAAAGCTTACGATTATTGATGGGTTGATTTCAATAATGGGTTGACTTCGATGCGCAGCAACAATGACAGTTCGCGCGGCGCGTCGAAACGGCAAAGTCCTCCAATCAATACATTGTACTATATTTTATTCGATTTGATTAAATTCAATTAATTATTATATACACAAATCAAGCGTTACATTTGAGCTATGCAAAATTACAATTAAATATTTTGATACACTAATTGATGGTAGTACAATATAAATTGTTCAATGTGTGGCCGGATGACAACTAATTTGAAAACAAAACAAAAAAAATTGATTATAATTAATTCGGCTGAACCATCAGATAGCAAGAGCCAAATAAATGTTTGGGTCGTTTAGAATACACTGTACTCAATAAAATAACTTCCACTTTTGTATCCTTGTTGTATCCTTTTATCCTAACCTTAGCCTATAAGTATCATCTCTCGCTTTGTGAAGTTTTTTTTGCTGGAACTTCATATTTCGTTTATGGGTAACTTAAATAATACTCTCAGGCTTTATATTACGATCTAAAAGTAAAATTGAATTTTAAATATAATAGAGATGTGAATATTATATCAAAATTTAAAACTTTCAAAACGGAGGCTTATAAATATTATTATATTATGATTGTAAAATAAAGGATAAAATTTTAAATTTGTTTCACTAAAAAATTTGTTTCACTTACCTGTTCATGAGGTTGACCCCCAACAAGGGTGTAAGTTTTCCTGTCTGAACTGTTAAGTCACAGGAAAGTATATTTGAATTGCTTTCAATTTGTTTTAGCAACCATCGAGAAGCAGTGGTCTTCCGTAATTGTATATTTAACTGGTAATAGTAAAGTCAAATATTTCGTTCTATGAACATCTAGCCTAGTATTCTGAAGTGTTGACGATTTTAAGATCAAATATAATATAAAATTATTCAAACAATATACACATAATATAGCAATAATTTCTACTTTAATATGTAAATAAATTATGACAATTATGTTAGTTATAGAATTTGTTTGTTTTTTAATGACGAAGGCTGTGAAATGTTCACAGTTCTGATAATGAGGAAATCAGAAAGAATGTTTAAAACTAGTGATGATGTTTATGTCATTATTCTTAATCTAATCTAATTTAATCTAAAATGACCCTATATGAAATCAACCCTCTAAGAATTTAAAAAATTCCCTTAACAATCAAAAATTACCCTTGGCCTTGTGGCTCCAAGTTAAGATCTAGACTGTTTATATCAACGATGTTTTTTCTTGCACCTCTGTCTCCACGGAGTGAAATCACTGTTGTTCTAAGGATTTCAAAGCGAAGGCGCTTTCTAATGTATCCTACAGCGTCTGAGTACCTCTGGCCAGTGTGGTACTCTATCTTACTGGCCAGCTTTTATATGAAATAATATTGGCAGCAGTGGACAATTTCCGTTTCCTCTGTATAAGCGAAAGATAAATCTAACGAAAAGATAAGGATTTATTATAGCATTTAATTTTGTTAATTTTGCTACTATTATGATCAAGGATTAAATACCAAGCATATTGAAGTGTAGTATAGTGTTATTGGACTATGTTTATTTGAAGATAATACTGATATAATATCGTCTCTTCAAGTCCTTCTTTGCCTTCTCTTTCATCTCCAAAACGAGCAGATGTTGTCTGGCTTGCTCTTCAGGTGACCAATCTGGAGAAGTGTAAACTGTTTTGTGGTGCTGACTCCGTCTCAGGTTCTTCGATTTCAATAATATCTCGTGGACATTATTGGAATTTGTGACCGATATTTTGATAGGTCTGGTCTTGTCGGCTGATCTCCTTCCAATCCTGACAGCTTCATACCGTGGTTTCACTTCGATCTGTTCAAACAGTTCGTCTACTTTATCGGATAGTTTTTCATCATCTGTCTCCATTAAACCAAACACGATTTTACTGCGGTCCTCCTTCGATACAGCACTCTGAACTGCCTTTTTCAAGCCCTGTTTGGTCAGTGCAGTTTCCGGCGGGTCCTTTAAAACAGCTTTACTGTATGACCTGATTTCAGCTTGTACAGTTTCCTGAACGGCAGATTTGACTGTGGTCTGAACAGATTCCAACTGCTCAGATTTGCCCTCAAGAAGTTCACTCTGCAGTTTGATAACCGAGTTTTGTGACCGAATAAGAGAGCTCTTCAACTCCTCTTCAACTCCTCTTCAACTCCTCCACATCTTCCTTCGGTGCCTGTCCGGGTCGATATATCAGTCAAGCTTCATGTATGTTATGTTGAGCATTCTCAACCAGCAGATGTGGGAACTCCCACGAAAGACCAAAACAGATCTAAAGAGACACTTAACAACATTGGAAAAATAGACTTCAATTTTTTTATATAATTTATAAAGCGTACATTATTGCCCACGTTAAGGGGCCTGTTAATAATTTATTCAATTATTAGCTATTTTAGATTTAATTATAATAATCCTTTATTTTGACAGCTTCTCTGACAAATATCTTCGTCTCTTTGTACACACTGTACAACAACTTTGACACAAATATTTTTATTAATTTTTGAATGGTAGTAATATACATCGTTATCTCAAATTATTTGTTATATAGTATTGTTGAAAGTATTAAAACTATATTAATATAACACATTTATATATAATATATATTATTAAATACATTTATGCCACTTTATTGACACTAAATTTTATATACAACTAGATGATGAATGTAACTATAAAGATTATAGACGGATCCAAGTAAGCTGTTTGATTCATAATGTTAAGAGCATGAGCAATTCTAATTTGATTGTTTACCATATCATAGCATCTCTATTTTTTCCAATAATGTGCTCCAAAAGTCAAATGTTCTAACTTCTCATTTTTAGGGGAAAGGTTAACGCAAAAAACAAGAAAAAAATCTTCCAAAGAACATGCTACTCGTAAGATTTCTCTTCTTTTAATTTATAGAAATTAGCTAGGTGGCCTTGTGGTTAAAGCATCAGCCTTCCGCGCAGAAGGTCCAGAGTTCAAATCCCAGTGTCACTTAGTCTAGGGAGTGCAAGTGGCTAAGGATCCATTGGATCTATGCGATCTCATCAGTCTACTAAGCTGAATGATAGGAAACTTGATTGAAACTTCCATTCATTTAATGTAATATTTTCAGATGTGGATCACGAGGCCACTTGGCCAAGACATGCAGGAACGGTACGTACCAGTTTTAAGTTAATTATAGAAGGTCAACATAACACTGCTTACAAGCAAATTTTATACACCTAGAACAATAAATCATTTAAAGCTGGATAATGGCATTAATCCTGGCAAAAGTCCAGCACATCCGCTAAGTTTCTCGATGTAATCCGACATTATATGGTCCTAAATGTCGAAGCGTGTAATAAATGTTAGAATTATTTATTTATTTAAATAACACTAACTACTCGGGTACACTTTTTCACCAGTGGGGCATTTCGGAATCACACCCTTTTTTACCGCACCCATATTAAGTGAAACAATTAAGAACCCCACTAAGAACCCCACTATAAATTATCTCAGCTTCTGATTGAGATACAGATCTCAGACATGAACCAAAGTTTGCCTAAGATGCATGATTATATTAGTGCTATCAACATAGTAAATAGTTAAGGCTTAGGAGACTTAGTTTTTGATTTTACTGAGAAAATATCCTCAGACATGAACCAAAGTTTGTTTGCCTAAGATGCATGTTTATATGTGCTATGAACATATTTAAGGCTTAGGGGACATAGTTTTTGATTTTACTGAGAAGAGAATTGTTTTTGAGAAAAGACAATTTTATTATTTATAATATTTATTTACAATAATACACGCTGTCAACTATAATACTAGCAATCTCACGAGTAACAATTATTACACTTATTTCAAGATATCTCAGCTTCTGACTGAAGCTAAGCGCTCATCATATTGTGTGGGGTAGAGCATGGTTTTAAAGTCTTCAGACATCAGCTTCAGGTTGTTGAGTTATTAGGTCAGATCCCATTTTTACGCTCTCGCAAGTACTGATTAATGCACTTATTTAAAGATATCCCAGTTTCTGATTGGAGCTAAGAGTTCAATTTGGGCTTAAAAATGGTCAGATTGTGTATGGTAGAGCATGGTTTTAAAATGGAGTAGAGCATGGTTTTAAAGTCTTCAGACTTCAGCTTCATGTTGTCGAGTTATTAGGTCAGATCGCATTTTCACGTTCTCGCAAGTAGCGACTTATATGCACTTATTTCGAGATATCTCAGTTTCTGATCGGAGCTAAGAGTCTATGCTGGGCATTGAATTGGTCAGAATAATCACATTCAGCGGTTTGAAACATGTTACAAGAGCAGAGGTTTTAGTGAATTTTACTGATCTTAGCAAAACAACTTTTTCCTAGCGATTAATGAAGGTCCATTCAAAAAATATTTTCACCATTGCATTGCATTGCAGTAACCATACTTGCAAGAGCGTAATAATGGGTTCTGACCTACTTATTCAACAACCTCCGGAAGTCTTAAAAACCTCAGGAAGACTTTAAAACCATGCTCTATTACACTCAATGAGATGATTCTGCCCATCTTATGCCAAGCATGAACTCTTAGCTCCAATCAGAAGCTGAGATATCTTGAAATAAGTGCATAAATCGCTACTTGCAAGAGCTTAAAAATTGGATCTGACCTTACTATAACCCAACAACCTGAAGTCTGAAGACTTTAAAACCATACTTTAGCTTTACCCCCACACAATGTGATGATTCTGACTATTTCAATGCCCAATAGGAACACTTAGCTCCAATCAGAAGCTGAGACATCTTGAAATAAGTGCATAAATCTATACTCGTGAGAGTCTCCTAGGCCTTAAATATGTTCATAGCACTAATATAAACATGCATCTCAGGCCAATTTTGGTTCGTGTCTGAGGTCTGTACCATGTACCATATAAATACCTATTATTCCTTCTGATTTAGGTATGGATATTTATGAAGTTGACGTTCCCCCAAATCATTAACTGCTTTTTGACCTTTCATGCCACAAATCATTATTTTCCAGACAACATTTTTAGTTAAAAATTGTGTGATTAACAAAATCATCCACAGGTCGAAGTCGACAAAGGGGTAACGAAAGTGAAAGAACCTATTCTAGGTAAATATTGTCTCAAAATAAATATCTCTCACATCTCGATTCTTTCGTTGAAGCTTCCAATTCTGTAATTTCATCAGTGGATTTCTTAGTGGATAGCTATTTTTAATGCCAAACTGATCAAGTACCTCTGGGCTGCCGATACAGTCTTTCCAGAAATGTGTTTTTTGCTAGTTATAATTATGTCTGTCCGATTTCCTGTCCGCTTGACTCCCCTAACTTTCTTGTGCATTGTGACGGAGCAAAACATTTATAATTATTTACGATATGTTTCATTTCTTGTTATTTCTTGCTTGATTTATGCATATATAATAATTAATTGAATTTTCTAATAAAACTATAAATTGTAAACTTTTATATTTCAATATGCTATAATAAGGCAAATTTTGTATTTTTTGACTCCACGACAACAAACCATTCCATTAGAGCGCCCATATTTTCATTGGAACCTTAATAACATGCATAACTTCAGGTCACGATCCCCCCACCGCGACCGGACATCCCCAACAACCCCAACACCACAGGTTCATTCTTTAGTACGAATTGGAAACTTATCAATTTTTGTTTGCAGTTTTTTTTGCAGTTACAGTGCTTAAGCTTAGTGAAGGCATATCATGGTGCATGTTAGAGGTTTCACTTGCACTATTAGAGGTGCCATAGCCCATATCTCAAATTGGTGATTTTCTAACAACCAACAAGATAGATGATTTTTTATTTGAAAATAGCAAAATATACACAAATGTGCAGCCGACCGACTTATAAGTGCTAAAAAGCGTGTGTCAGTGAAATAAGTACAAAGGAAACCTTTCAAAACAGGAGTTTTAGGGCCCACCCAAAGTCTAAATAATCTCCACATATAATATTAAAGTTATGAAATGGTGAAACACTGAAAAATAGTGTATGTATAATGTATATAGGGGGGGGGGGGGGGGGGGGGGTCCAAGGGGAACTTTGGGAAAGTCCCAAAGATTTCTGAAGTTCCACAAAAAAAAAGTTCCCCAAAATTCCCCAAAATTATTCGAAATTTCTCTAATATACATTAATACCCATTAATGTTAACATGTATGTTATTTTATGAATCTTAACTTACTTGTTTGATACTTGCAGCATGATAATTTTTTTGGCATGATAATTTTTTTGGGGGATTTTGGGAGTCCCCCAGGTTTCCTGAAGGTCCCCAAAAAAAAGTTCCCCAAAGTTCCCCTTGGACCCCCCCCCCCTATATAATTGTCTCTCAAATACAGATAACGTTCAAAAACTCTCGAGATACGATTATCACACTTAGGGACATGAATTGCTTCAATGTGGCTTCTTAACACAGCTACAGACCTTCCCGTACCGGATATGATATCGTTGTCGAGATGAGTCTGTTCAGCCCTCTTGAAGGCCAGCAACCAGATGCTTCCTTGTTGCTTGTTCTTTGCTGGATCTATCTGGACAGATCCACACATCGTTGTAGGTCTCGACTAGCCTCAGTCTCCCTGTTTTCATCTCATGAACTGCTGTTGAGCTTGGGACGGCAATCTTGACTGGTCGGATAGCTGCTGTACTACCTGTAGCTGTAGTTGGTAGATCTGAGGCCAAAAATAGGGTATGACCTAATAAAGCAACAACCTGAAGTCTAGACTAGTCTGTAGACTATGAAACCATGATCTACCCCACTTAATGTGATAATTCTGGCCATGTTTATGCCCAAGACGAGCCCTTAACCTTTAGCTCCCATCATGCCAAAAGCTGAGATATCTTATAATAAGTACATAGATTTCGGCTTGCAATCAGCGTAAAAATAGGTTCTGAACCTGAGCTGAAGTCATTTGTATTTAAAACCATGCTAAACGCTCGATGTGATGATGCCATTTTTATGCTCAAGATGCAATGAGCCCTTAGCTCACACCAGAAGCTGAGATATCATGAAATAAGTGTGATAATCGTTACTCGGAAGAGCGAAGAAGGGCGTGGTCACATAACTCAACAAGACTTTAATACCAAGTCTGTAGACTTTAATACCATGCCTAAATGTGATGATTCTGATCATTTTGATACTCAAGTTGATCTCCTTTCTCCAATCAGAAGTGGAGATATTATGTAGGTTTACATATCGCAAAAAAAGGGCATGCTTAATTGTACGCTCAATTGCGCAAAACTGCCCATATTCAGGAAGTCTACCCAAGCGAAATTTGTTCCTTCCAGCCAACTCAAGTAGCTTGGAAATGAGCTTTGTCCCAGATCTCCTCCAAAATTGCGGTTACCAGAGCTGGAAGCTGTTCTTCATCCTCTTCTTTCAGCCCAAACACAATCAGATTCTTGCTCCTGTCCTCTTTTGCAGCAACACTCTTTCTTCATCACGTTTTTCAGAATTTTAGAATTTTACTGTCACATAGCGTGTACAGCTGCAGTTGCACCCTAGCTCTTTATCCCTGACTCCACCATACTATTGTTTGTACTGTCTCTTCAACTGACATCTTAAGTAACTGTAGTTCGTCTTTCTGCACCATCAGCTGGCCCTGCTGTATGAACACTTTTTCCTCGTCTGTAAGTTAGCGCTTCTGTCCTGAAGCACTCTATGATCTCCATCATAATGCTCATCAAGGTCTACTGCATACGATAGTCTTTTAATAAACAGACGGATGCGCTTCGCCCTGATTTTTATCTGTCCATAGTTCCGTCAATGCCATCGTCTCTATGCTTTTTCAGTTTGTTTCTATTCTCAATGAACCACACAGAAACCAAGCCCTCCACATCTTCCTGTTCATCATATTGGAACTCACAATTGTTCCCCGAGATAGGGGAAATTCAGTCCATTCTTCCATATTGTACTAAGTACTTGTATAGTAATGAAAAAATACACACAAAAGCAAACTAAGCCACAACGGGAAACTAAAATTAAAGTTACAAGAGATAATTCAATGAAACAATAAGTTTTGCGTGAAACAATAAGTTTTATTTCGCACACTTTAATCATAAATAAAATAGGAGTGCCAGGAATAAGGAACCAAACCGCTTGGGGCTAACAATGGCTCATTTACAAACCACTTCAGACATGTTATGTTGTTATTGATGCTCAATTCGTCTGGAACTGATCCTATTGACCTCTAACATTCTATAAAATCTTTTCTTAAAAAGCTATAAAGATGCATAACACAAAACACACGAACAAAATATTTATAATCCATATATACATTTTTTATAGAACTTTTAAATTTCTAAAAAACTAATAAGCCTATTATATATATATATTCATTTTGCACCCTGAGAAGAGGTGATCACAGAGCAGAGGAGAGCAGAGGTAGATACGATAGCATGTTCATGACTAGGTGTGGGGCTGTAACATAAGCCACACTGACTACACATTCACCTACATAATTCTAACACCCAGCCTTATTTTCAGAAATCACAAAGCACAAAGTCAACACCACAAAATCAACACCAACACCAAAGCACAAAATCAACACCACCCTACCCATTACCCTACCCACATGCACAGTTTCAAGACCCGAATCCGAATGTTGTCATCCGAAAGTTGTCAAGATCAGAGATAAGACTTGAACAACAAGTTGTTGTTGGGACGAGGCCCAGGGCCAGGGCAAGATCAATATGAATTGTTGCTGCTGTGTTATGGTCAAGTTCGGAGACAACCTGTACATTTTTTACTTTTTTAGAAGTGTGTGGTGGAGCCAGCTCAACACAGACTGAAACTCCTTGATTATATGGCTGACAAGACATTTTTCAGGACTTTCTCTGAGTAAAAAAAAAATTAAAAGGTTGAACGGTTGAGCAGATACAGGTGGTATTAAACAAACCCTTAAAAGGTGGAGATTTAAGGTGGAGACTGGCTCTGGTTGAAGAAACTTTTGATTAAGGTGGAAAAGGTTATTGGTAACACAAACTACATCAAATTTGCAATCTGATAGTTTTATCAATATTTTATTTAAGTGCTCAACCGAGGTGGAGAAATTAAATGCACTTTTCAAAGCTGCTCAACCGGGGGTGGAGAAAGGTTTAGAGAGTTCTAGGTTAGCTAGAAAGTTGCGTCTCGGCCTTTTCTACTTCCCGTTAAATTTTGTTTTTTCCATTGACGCTCAACAGGGTGGAGATCTTTCATTAGGAAACAGTAAAAAGCCTGTCAAACATGCCTAAATTCATTGGTTTTATCACTAATTCTAATCTGCTCTGTTAACTGCTACTGTAGGGGATCATAAAACTGTTACCCCTTCTGTCTTAAAGCAAAGTGTTCTAGCAAATGAAAAAATTATCAAAGTTGTGAAAAGGTACTCAACAAGGTGGAGAAATTGTTGATTAAACATTAAAACATTAAAAAATGCATTAAAACTGGCCCCACTGGGTTGAGTTGAGCTTTGGCAGTTGATTTTTGGAAGAAATAACATTGGGTGACCCTTTAGCATGTATACAACTCATCAAACTAGCCATCAACCACTCAACCGCGGTGGAGAACCTTGACTTCTGAGGTCAAATTTACGCCAAAATTTGCCAAATTTGAGTCTCCACCTATGTTGAGTGTACTTTTCAGCAAGGATGCCTTGTAATATGAGTTGGTAGATGATTTAGAATCATTGGTATTGCAAATGGACTGCCACAGTCACTCTACAGCTCCTAAACTACAGAATAACAGATTTTGAACTGCATGTTATGCTGTCTCCACCTCGGTTGAGCCGATTCTGAGGATCCTATTCTATGAAATATGATTGGTATAACCCATAATATTAAATATTAGGACTTTGGAGCAATTAAAAAGCATGAGAGGGTTAGTTCTAGTCACTTATATTAGCTCATGTAGTCAGTGAGCTGCTCCACCTGTGTTGAGCAGACAAACCTGCTCAACCGGCACTTTTTGAGTACCCACCTGTCTTACTTTAAATTGTGAAATTTGGAGTACATATTTTTTTCATAAGTGATTTACAGCTCCTTTATTTTTGTAATTTTCAGGTGGCCACTGTCTCCACCAAGGTTGAGTTATTTAAATTTTGAACCCAGATATCATTATAGAAAGGTTTGGAGTATAATATCTGAAGAGCCTGTACCCCTTGGACTTTCAGAGGAATTATAATTAATTTTACCGTTTATGGCAGTGAAATGAGTGTAATTAGTGACTGATTTTATGTACAGGTTGTCTCCGAACTTGACCTTATTATTTCCTGTGTGAATTTAAGATTATTTCCTGATGTTAACTCCTAAAAATTAACCGAAAAGATCTTCCTTGATTTTGCTGTTGACCAACGGGTACGGTGATGAATAAAAAATGAGACTCCCTTCTTTTAAGCCCTCAGCTTCCACCTACCACAACCACCAACTTTACCCTCAACGATACTCGAACAGTTTCCGCCCCCATTTGATCAAATTGGTTGATCTTTGTCCCCGATAATGGTCTCGAACAAGGGGAGGGGTCCTATAAAAAAAATTGTGCAGTAAAGCACTGTTCGCAAAAATCGCCTCACAGGTAGTTAAAGCTTCCATAAAAACATTTTAGCGGAGAGTATGCCTAAACTTCCTATCTATCGCATCCTAAAGCGATTTTAGCAGCAGAGGTCTGTAGCCAGAAATACAGAGACAAAAAGGCCATCCTGTATTATGGCACTTTCGAAAATGACCCAGTAGGAACTGCTGGTGAGCCACATAACCGGCACCCTACCAAGATCCCAGATCTGTTTTGGCTGTACTCTCGGTTATATTTCCAGGGCAGTCACATGACTAAATGTTTGTTGTCTGAAAGTTGTCAAAGCCCCTAAGATCAGAGATAAGACCCAAAAATGGGAAGTCATGAGCAAATTTGAAAATATGTATAATATTGACTAAACGCTATATTTTGCTATCGTAGAGAAGAAGTATTTCGGTCTGACTGGTGTCCATACGTCAACAAGTAGGGAATTTTATGCTTGAGACTAGGGTTCATCAGCATAGCTAAAACCAGCGAGAAGATATTTGAGCTCAAAACCACTTGAGGGGTAAAATTTGACCGTGTGAAAGATCGAGGCTAGGTCAAACTATCGGCTTTAGCATGGTCTATTATAATGGTACCACGTAAAAATCAAAGTGCCTGGAGTCTATCTAGTGCCTCTTACCTCCTACATAATGGGCAGGTTTTCGAAAATTTATTATAATTTATAAATTAATTAATTCATCAATTTATCACTCAATTATTCAATCAATTTATCACTCAATTTACTGTCTCACCCAATCATTATATCTCTTCCAGCTATGAATTCACAGAACACACGCAACATGTCATTTCACGAAGCCTATAAGGTTTCAGAGAAACTATACACAGCATGACAGCAGAATAGGCTACACGTTCCCGACATATGTACACCTCCCGATAGAAATAAATCTCCAAAGACTGCATGAGAGTTTTTGCAGGCATAAACTTCACCACAAGAGTGCAATGTGGTCGATGAAACGTCAGTTTCGTTTGTCCCAGTCGTCTGTGACGAAAAAAAGAAGAAGAAAAAAAAGAATATTTACGTGTTTCACTAATTTATATTGACTGATAACGACCAAAAAGCTGGAATCTCGAACTTGACGCTAGGGGGTCTCATCAAAATTCTTTTGAAATTGACTTATAGTTGTTGCTGATAGACTAGAGGGGGGGCCGGGGGGGGGGGGGGTAATACCTATCAGATGCTTTTGGTCCCATGAAAAAATATTGTTCCTAGCCAACATTATTGCGGGTTAAAAGTCAGTGTTTTATACGTGTAATTGTATTGCACAAGCGATTTTAAATCGATTTTAGTAAACATTTTAGCTCATAACTTTTATCTTATAGAGAATGAGTCACACAAAGTCGATAATTAAAGACTACTCCATCGTTGAATGGAAGGTACCGAACTTAAACTCATCACCAATAGAGATTATCGAGACAAAGGTAACTTGATCGAAGATAAACTTAAAAGTGTATTCCGAATTTTCAATAAGCAAGTGGTGCTATCTACGCATCAACAAAGTAGGGTAATAAAATGAATATCGATGATATAAGATAAAATTAAATTGCCATATCTTAAGGCCATGCACATATTTGTAACTGCTCAACTTTTTTTATAAATAATAATGAGGTTAACCAATTCTTACAAAATTGACTAAACAACATTGAAGCTAATAAAATCAAGTTTAAGATGTTATTACACACAATTTTTTGTCATTTCGGTCAGCAAATGTTAACTCTAAATTATAGATTCCCCAACTGGCCTTAAAACGGGTTGTAGGATTTTACTAACAAAAGACTAATTTCTTTTAGTTTTTGAGTTCGTACTGTGAAAAGAATACAAAAAATAAGAGTAAGAAGCTTTCAAACGGGAAGTTGTTTGTAAGAGGAGATCTGTGCACGTGGGCATGTGGGAGGAACGTTTGGATTGCAGCATTAATCCACTGCACTACGGGTTTGTTTGTTTTCACATAAAATTGGAATTTTCATTTATTTATAATTACCATTATAAACTATAATAAACTTGGCTAATAAACATTCCCTATGGATGATAAGGGATAAAAGATAATATAGATAAATAAATTAAAGCTACACAAAGTTAATCGTCAAATTTTTTATTAATTTAGTCGTGATTTAGTGTGATTTGACTTAATGCGACTTCAGCATCTAGCTGAACTCTATCCGACATAAGTCCTCCAATTTCTTCCAAGTCGTTGATACCTGCTGACACAGGATTTTTCTGACCAACAGGTAAGTTTTTATGATTATCTGATCTACTAAAAAACCAACAAAACTCTGTTTTCAGAAATGGATAGAGCCAAAAAGCCTCACAAAGAAATCGCAGAAATTTTTCATAAAAAAAAATTGTCTTTCTTTGATGCTAAGGAGAAAGCCATAAAAGAAGTTCTGGTGATATTGTAAGTACTGAATACAGTAATGTACAGTAAAACGCCCAGTTTAAAAATATAAGTTGTTATAAATGGGACAACGGTTGGGGGGGGGGGGGGGGGAGGGGGTATCGGTATATCATATCAGGCCAGGGTTTCCGGTAAATCGGGCGTGGTGAATCGTGGTTTTACTGTATGAAACCTGCTATCGTATAAGGAACATTTGTTGCCATTACAAGTCTAGGTGTATTTCCTCTATCTTCTCTAAAATAAATATCTATTAGAAAACCTGCAGTTGCAAGACCAGTGGCTCCGGCTCCGCCCAGTGTAGATGTAAGACCAGTTGCAGTGGCTCCGACCAGTGAAGTTGTAAGACCAGTGCAGTCAGCTTCAGGGGAGACATTAGGACAATCTGTTCATGTAAACCAAGATAAGCCAAGTCCTACAGAAGACATCCTCCGTAAGGATTTAGAGGTATGTTATTGTCATTTAATGGGGAATTCCAAGGGGCTTGCGCAGGGGGGGGGGGGGGGGGGGGGGCAAACAGGGCGGTCGCCCTCCCCCCAGTGGAATAAATTTTAAATATGACTAGGAATCAAGTTTGGGAAGAAAAAAAGGCTATACATTTGACTGGTCACTGGTCAGCTCTTGTCCCAGGCCAAGATTATTTTGAAATAGTTATCGTATCCAGTAGAATAACTAGCAGGATCCGTCTAACCCTAAAGCGGTGTCATTGAACATTTTTGAACATTTAAAATATAATTTGGAACATTACAGTAACGTTATTCAAATCTCAAACAGAAAAAAGTATATTTCAAAGCTTTGTGTTTTGATCATTATATTATTATGGGTGTATAGTGATTTTGATTGCATAAATTTGATTGGGCAGTGATGGTGAGTGAGAAGATGATGGGAGTGCCAGCCAGTAACTCAGTCAAATGAACAGCCCACTGAGGAGCCCAGGTCAAGATTTATGCGATATTGCGAGCCAGACTCATCGCACAAAATTTGTAAATAAATGAGGAAACAGAAAAAGTTTAACTTAAAAGTTGAGGGAATTAGGAACTTTCAACTTAACATGTATTTTATACTCTTAACGTGTATTTTATCACTTGTTTATAACGTGAAAACTTCGACGTAACGCGAGCGAGATTTGTGCCAGATTTTTGCGAGTTTCGTTTAAATCTCATAGCTAGGCTCACGATATCGTGAGATTATCCGCGAGATTTCGGCACCCTCTTTCAGCACTACATATTCGGTCGCGCGCTTGCATTTTCATCGCTTTTCAGCGTGTTTATTCTTAGTTTATTTACAATGCAAGTGATGCAACGGCCCCATAATACAATTCCTCATCTTACTGGCCTTTTCGTCTTTATCATCAAGCCGACTTTTCATGGTCAATGAACTTTTGGTATTGATTGTTTTGAATTATTACTGGTTGTGACTTGTGTTAGTCTGACGGCTTACTTTTCTGTACTGTTAGTGTCTAAGTCTTAAAAGATACTAGTTGTTGTTGATACTAATCGGTTTATAAGATCAAGATTTACAGTGGTTACTATAGTTACCATGGTTACCATTAAAGGAGGTCCGGTAACGGTCGAAATCTCAAGGTACTATTCCTGGCTACAGTCGACTCCATCTTTCTCAGAATATACTTGATACTGCCATAGGCATAGTGAATGTTTCTTTATTAAAAGTTTGAGAAAGGGTCTCTTCAACTGGAGAACTGACTTATTAATCCTAGCAAGTAATTAACTCTGGATCCTCATCACATTGATTTCATTCTAAATTCTAGCCATAAACAAAGCAAACATTACCAGATAACTCCGTTTACCATAATTTGACAATTGACGTGTTCTAGTGCGAACGAGGCCTTCCCCGGACAAATCCTTAAATGCCAGTCTTCTCTAGCTGAAGTACAAACAGTATAATCTATCGGATAACGTAAATTACAAGGTGCTCTGATGATAATTTTAGTAAAATAATTAATAATTGCCAAAAAAATGACTGTCAACGAGACTCGAACCCGAGACAACTGCATAACGATCGCGCCCTAAACCATCGTGCTACGAAAGTCTTATCCCATTTACAATATGTAACATAATATAATTCATAAAAATATGCACGTAAATTTTTCGTTATTTATGGATCCAATAATATAACAGCGACATACTTACAATTCTGAGAAATAAACATCGAGCGACATAAAGCAACTTACTTACAATTTCGCTTACGAAGGGACTCGCGAAATCTTTTTAAATAGAAAATAATTTGTGGGGCAAGAAATCTTGCAGGCTGGGGGGGGGGGGGGGGGGGGGGGGTTGGTGGGGAGTACATTTCGCCACTGCACGTGACACGTGAAAATCGCACTTTTAGTCTCAAAATCCAATCTCATCGCACTTTTTTTAGAATCTTGATAGGGGCTGAGGAGTGGGTGAGCGCAAGCGCGAGAATGGCAGAGAGGGTGGCATAAAACGGAATACACGGCCACAGAAAAGACACAGAAACTAAACCGTGCGCAGTAAGTTAGCCAGTGTCTGAGAGCTAGTGTTGCCCGGCAAGAGGCATCCAAAAGAGGTGCCGTGGTGAACTGTGCATGTGGAGGCAAAGTTCGAATGCAAGGCGACGCAACTCAAACTGATGATGAAGAGGTAGACTGAACAGGAAGTAAAGAAAAAGGAAAAGGAGATCCAGCTGAGGTCTGGCTGAAAAGCTCACAGACAAAATCATCCGTGGCTGTCTACCCCGTACGTAGGCAGTGTCCGAGATTTCAGGAATCAGGATACACTCGAGCAGTGCAGAGCTGATTACAACCAGGGTCCTCACGGATACCCCGCCTCGGAGGTTGAGCCAATGCCTGCTTTCGATACTTATGTCAAGACTCAAGAGACTAAAATAATTATTACCTATTTAATTCGCGTTTTTGACACCACTTGGGAGTCCAAATTTTGGCACTAAAATTCTTATTCCTTGGCCAATTTTTTATTTTTTCATGCTGATCTGAAGGCCATCAAAGCATTTGCCCCAGTAAAAAAAATTCAGTTGTATGTCGGGGTCTTTTACGGTTTTTGCAGAAAGTCGCGATAAAGTTGATTCCATGGTGTCAGTAAAATGGCACGGATCCATATTATATATATATCGTCTCGCTTTATATATAGTAAGATTACCGGATGAATATGCAATTGTAAATTTTGAAATTAAATAAAAAATATCTGAGAATTCTTTGATTCATTTGAAACGCAAGGATATATTTTTGAAGCAGTACCCTACAAGAATCTTTTTTTACCAGTTATCAACAAATTTTGACTAGGTGTTAAATTCCTGGACGCCTGACTATTTGCAACTGCCCCCCCCCCCCCCCCCCCCCCCCCCCCCCTTTTTGAAATGTTGACCTAGAATTTTTTTGAAAATTGCCTTCTACAGCAACAAAATATTTTTGCAACGTAAAAAAGATTTAATGACATCAAACACAAGTTTTATTGTGAACGAATATAGTGCCTTTGAACTAATTAGGCCGATACAAATGCCTTGTGCATATAATATATTTCCATGAGTTGGCTGTCGCTATATCTAGGTAGCCAATCCTTCATGGTCGGGTGGGAATCGATGAGGCTCAAGAGAGATATATGAGAGGCAGATTAATATGGGAAAGGACTGAGGTTCAGAATATCAAAATCATGATCATGGGACATCACGATCCAGTACCAAATAGCGTATGCTCAACCTTACTGCCACTCAGACTTAACTGGAGATATTCGAAATAAATTAAAATTCGCGCAATCTTTATTTTTAATTTGTCCAATATTTTGAATCCAAATTATTACCTAGTGTCTAATCGACTACTTTGAACCTTCTGTATTGATATCCTATTGGTCTATCGTATACAGGGTTACCAGGGGACCTTAAAAACCTTAAAAACCTTATAATTGGCAATTATACAATTTTGGGCAAAAAACCTTGAAAAATACGTGAAAAACGGGCAAATTTTCGGGTTTTTAAGGTTCTTTAAGGTTTCATACTTAATTATACTTAGCTTGATCTAACTAGATTTTCCGGATTAATAACATTTTCTGAAATTATACCTAGCTTGATGTAGATCTGATAAGTTTTCTGAAATTTTGTACTTAGCTCGGTATAGATCTGATTGGATATTCTGATATTATACCTAGCTCGGTGTAGATCTGATCCGACTTTCTGAAATTGTACCTAGCTCTGTATAGATCTGATTGGGTTTTTCTGAAATTATACCTTCCCCCTGTAGATCTGATTGCAATTTCTGAAGCGGAAAACCTTTAAAAAACCTTGAATTTGAACTTTATTGCATTACGTTTTTCCAAACTTTCGCACTTAAAAACCTTAAATTCATTTCCAACCTCATTTAGCCTCATTTGGGGTATTTAAAATCAGCAAAATTAGGAAGAGGCAGAACGAGGCAAATTAATCTAGTTTTCAGACTTTTTGAGATAAGAGGCAACATCGATTAATTCGAAGTCATTGCACTATAATTCGAGACTGTAATGTATCCCTCCAAAGGGGCACAATTATAATATCCTGGAGCTAAGCTGGGGTCAGACGATATCCATGAGAACTTATCGGAAAAGTTCACCTAAAAAAGGGGATGCTGTAGAAGGGAATGGTCAGTGGACTCATTAAAAAGCCTGGTACAAAAGGGATTTTGTGACTAAATTAAAACAAGTGTCTCTTCAATCACATGACATTCTAGGGTTATTAACCCTTAACAGTTAACAACTTTATACCCGGGTACCTCCGGAATTTTGCCAAAACTGTATGTTTAATTTGAATTTGAGGGGAACTTAAAATAGCACATTATTTACAACTGAAAGGCCCTTAATAATTTTAGACCAAAAAGATGAAACTATATTAAACTAATTTTTATCTTACCTTATGCGTACAGCCATAATAGTTACGGCAAGACTTAATATTTCTGTGAAAAATTCGTATCAAAGGTCATCTTTCAGGAACCCATACGTATACGCCCCACCCATAAAATTGGTTATTTGGCTCCCGAAGGTCTTGAGATCTCAATGTAGGCGGTAAAATTGGGGCTTTATTTTTCGAAATAAATGGAATTTACGCTCTTAATTTTACTGAAATTTCGAAAAATACACAAAAATCTTTCATTTTAAATCATAGAAACATGGGACTAAAATTAACCATTTTCCACAATTTCTATTAGAGTATGACACTTTCAGAGCCCTGAAAACACACTTGCTTCATCCCTAAATCGGCAATTGCATGAATTTGCACCGTCAAAATATATTATGACAGTTAAGTTCGGTTCTTATGTTAGATTATAAGTCGAAGGGTAACATTTCTCCATCCCTTTCGATCTATAGCACCACTATGGTACAAATGAGGATTTGAATCAAGGTTTTTAAAAGTTTTAATCGTTCTAGTAACATGATTTAATTGTAAAATAATTTTTAAGAAATTTATAGACGGTTGACAGGAATGAATTAATATACTGAAGCATTTCGATTATGAACACATTTTTCAGGAACTAAAAGAAGCTCTAAATGGATTAATGGAGAAATTTGAAAACTCGGAGATGGAAAAAAAAATCCTCAAAAGAACCGTAGAAACCTTGAAGGATGAGCAGAAGGTCGTGTCCGATTACCTTGTCGAGATGAAACACACTGTGCGGGGGTTAAAAAGGACTATTGATGACCTACAAACGCCTGTGGAGGATGCAGCCTATCAGACTCCCCCTGGCCCTCCTGCCAAGAGATTGTGTTCGAGTAGCGAGAAAAGCAAGAAATCAGACCTTCTGCTCCCTGCTTATACCGACGGGGGAAAGTTAGAGGAAGAGTTTAAACTTGTCCTTTTGAATGCCTTACCAGCCTCAAAAAAGACTCATACCACTGTATGGAGGCTACTCATTAATCATAAGTACAAAAGAAATCCCAACGCAATTAATTCCTTAAAGTTGCCGCCAATAAATGGAGCAAGGAAAGAAAAAGTTAAAGAATATACAGAAAATGACTGGAAATACATGACCTGGGATGTAGTAGTTGCATTGATTAGGGTAGCAATGGATCACCTACCTAATACTTTTGAGGATGTAAGAAGTGCGAGGAGATTACTGATGAATTTTTTGGACAACAGCAGGCAGAAAAATGGAGATAAGCTTGCAGAGATGTCACGCAGAGATGCCATTAACCAGTCGATCAATATCACTCCGACATCTGCTGCGCAGGTTAATCAATTCGTCCCCAGAATGCATCCTATACCTATGCAGAACTACAATTATGACGAAGAAGACCAGCATACGACAACAGCAGCCGTCGGTTCAGCAGAAAGTAACTACTAAATCAAAATGATTGGCTACCCTATGTGGGTGACTAGGCTGTGTGATAAAACTCAACAACCCTGTGTGGATAACATGGTTTTCTCTGTGTGAGAAATCTCAACAATCCTGTGTGGATAACATGGTTTTCTCTGTGTGAGAAATCTCAACAGTCCTGTGTGGATAACATGGTTTTCTCTGTGTGAGAAATCTCGACAATCCTGTGTGGATAACATGGTTTTCTCTGTGTGAGAAATCTCAACAATCCTGTGTGGATAACATAGTTTTCTCTGTGTGAGAAATCTCAACAATCCTGTGTGGATAACATGGTTTTCTCTGTGTGAGAAATCTCTATAATCCTGTGTGGATAACATGGCTTCTCTGTATGAGCAACGTAACCAGTATTTTTTATGCTTCCCTTAATGTCGTCGGTGGATTTCTGCTAGCTTGATATTTGTCAACATTATACTAACAGAAATTTACCAGTGACATGTAAGTCAAATCAAAGATAAATTTTACACTGTAATTTTGAATCTCTGATTTTTCTTAAATTAAAAACAGCTCATCGTTCTATTAACAACTATTAATAGGAAAATTAGCTGTTTTTATAAAAGGCAAATGGGTCCGGGCTTGCACTAGTGGCAGTCCACCCGGGAGGCGGTAACTATAGAAGTTTGAACATGTGATCAAATGTCTATAGGCTAAACTTTGCCTTTCGACCGTCAAATACTGTCCTTTTACTCAGATAAATAATTTTACTTTATTTGTTCATAAAATCTGAACTGATAAAAAAGTCCATAATCTTGGTATTTCAACACTAAGTCTCGCTTGAATGACTTACATTTACATCGTTATTGGGTATATTTTAATGTCGAAGCGTGTAATAAATGTTAGAATTTATATATTTATATAAGACAAACCAGTCGATATAAATAAAGTATTATTAAGCAGAACTTGAACAAGTTCCACAGCAAATAGTGTAATTTTACCTCATTCGGGTAGCCTAAAAAGGCAAAATTTGGACGAGGTAAATGAGGTTGACCCCCCCCCCCCCCCCCCCATCCAATAGTACAGTCAGTTATGCACATTTACCTGCACGATTTGAGATTTTTTAACTGAAGCGAAGCGCAGGCCTTCATCAAGGTATTAGTTACTCCTTATCAGTCGGAGCAGAGGCACCTATTTTAGCAGGGGCATAATCCTACATTACGCTTTAATTTTGAGTCACCGAATCGTGAGTCGTGACTGACCCGCATCTAAAATTTAATACGTTGGCCTTGATAGCTCAGTCACTGTGTACACAATTGTAATAACTCTTAATAATTCTTTCTGGTATGACTTACTACCACCACTGGTTCAAGCAATTTGTCAAATCGAAGCATAAATCTGTGTTCATATTTTTCAAATGAAGGTTCATTTTGGCATTTATTTGATAGTTTGGATAGTTGGATCGAGCCAAATTTTATTGAATTGTGTTTGGCCATTTAAATTACGTTTGTCCTGAAAAAATGAGAGTTATAACTTCTCAGATGACCGACGCGAGATAAAAAGCTTAACGAGGTTATTCATTATGTGTGATCAGGTGATTGGGGTGAGGCAAGATTCGCATTATGTGAATCGTGCAGAAAGCCCAATTACGGTGTCTTAATTGGGTAATCATTAAGTACCCAATCAATTTTGCTAAGGAGATAAACAAATTGCTTGATAACTTCGTCATTTACTCAGTGAGATAATTATCATCTGTAGAATGTTTTAAAAATACCATAAAGACGTTTTATTTCCACCTAGCTTTTGATAATATTTCTAGTATCTGTCCATAATGTCTAAGCTGATATGAAAGTGTGCATTATTCTGGTCACTTCATACAATTATTTGTCCATAAAATCTGAACTGATAAAAAGTCCATAATCTTGACATTTCAACACTCGTTTAATGAATGTACATCTTTGTTGGGTATATTTTAATGTCGAAGCGTGTAATAAATGTTAGTATTTATTTATTTATTTAAATCCGTTTTGCACTATCTTTTTAATTCAGATTATATTCCGGATTAAATAACCTATTGCAATATGTTACAACAGAGCCTCTAACATGTTCACAAACACGGGTATAAGCACTTCAATGTTGATTGGGTGTGGCCCCTTAAAATCGAACTTTATTGACAGAATCCTTGAAAAAGTAGGCCTAAGTACAGTATGCCATCTGCAAAGCAACAACCTGCAAATAAAAAACACGGCGGTTGTATAAGGCCCAACGTATGGGTACTGACTTTTGCCCCCCCCCCCCCCCCCCCCCTGTATAATTCAAACATCAAAGATAAGCTATCAAAGTTCGTACTCTTCACAATACAAACTCTGGGCTGTGTCTAAGCTGGTGGAGTGAAGGAGTGAAACTTTACTTCGCTGTGAGGTGGTCAGAAGGTGATTGCTCTGTCAATTGCTTTGACAAAACTCAACTTAGCTGAATAGGTGAGTAATGCCCAAACTTCACGCAGTTCAAGGTCGAATCTGTTTAATTGATTGTATCATGACATCTTGAATTTTAGTAAGTATAAAATTAAAAGTGGTCATTCCAGTTAAAGATTATAGATTTGCATAAGTCAAAATAATGTGATTTACGATCATGGATGCTATTTTTCGCTATATTTCAGACCACCCAACAAGAGACTGGTGCGGTGACATATAGAACACATATCAACTACTAAGATGCATGGACGGCGGACGTGAAGATTGCAGAATATCGGTAAATTTTATAATGTTATTTTATTCAAATAACACAATTCCACATAATCGGTTCAAAATTCGATAGTTTCAGAACTTGGTAACCCTGCTATTGTACTTGATTGTCAAAGTAATAGCGGAGAACAATTATTGTGTTGTATAAACATATTTGTCTAGACTAACCTACAATCATTACAATAACTACTGCTCTACTGGATGTAATTTCTACATTTTGTCAAATTTGGGTATTTATTAATTAAGATTTGCCGTCATGAATAATTGTATCGCAAATGATGAATAATTGTATCGTTAGGATCGGAGTTACCCTGAAGATACCAACAGTTACTTTTTCGTTACTTTGTCGAGTTCTTCCGTGGTGCCATGCCGGAAGGGTCATTAGATCGTATCAGGATCGCGATCGGCGAGGTCTACATTAAAGTCTCAGGCAATGATCAGTCTACCTGGAAGGTGAGTTAGACTGTCAAGATATTCATCAAATTCCCGTAAAAAGTCTGACATTTTGGACATTTTAGCTGTACAAGATCGATAGACACAGCAAAAACGAAGAAGGTCGTTGTTCAAAGGAGTTATGGGTCTTTTTAGGGCGTTTATTGAAGCTAAGATCTTTCTTAAAGGCAATAGCGACACCACATTCTCTACCGGCTCTAGATTGGTGAACAATATTATAATTTATAAGCCTAGGTCTTTAATAGAGCAATCCTCTCAATTTTATAATTACAGTTTTAGACATCCATTCTATGCAGTGTTTCCAATATTAGAATTTATGATATGGTATTGGTTGAATAATCGGTAATACATGCATTTATTAACTTTATACAAGTTTTATTAACTTTTGTTTTATTAGATATCTGATCACCTGGATGGCGAGTAATCAACCAGTGAGTTTGACCAACTGCAGCTGAAGCCTGCTGAGGGTTTTCCGGTATCAAAGCAAGAAAGTTCGACAAACTACACAGCAGTTGAGAGTAGCTGATCAATAGAGAAAAGTGAGTTTTTAGAAACAATGTACTACAAAATACATAGGTTAAACCAGAATTTAGGCTTTCAGGTATTAAAGTAGTGTTGAAAGTATTAAAGTTTTAATACTTTCAACATTACTATATATACTAGGTCAAATCATTTGTTATATAACAAATAATTTGAGCCTGAAGATGGCGTTGACACTGAAAATTTGCCTATATTCCTAACTTTTTCCGTTACGTCGGACGAAATGATCTCCGGAGGGACTCCCAACCCACCGCTTCGGCGGGTAGTTGATTCACCGTTCACAAGCAAGAGTGTGAGGTGTTCAGCTACATGGGTTGGGGGTCCTTATTTTTTTTTGGAATCCACGGTTAACTTTACCGCGCGCGCGGAAACCAAACCTGTATTTTATAAGTAAATGTTTTATGGACACAAATATACGTGATGAATATCGCGCGACGCAAAGTTTTGGAAACTCCCATTAGAATGAGGGTTAAACTGTCATTATTAGCTGTCTTAGCTAGCTCAGTTTTTTAAGACAGCTACCTACGACAGCTAGCGCGCAGCAACCCTCATTTTTAGCTGTCTTAAAAAGTGCGGCCTAAGACAGCTAATGCGCGCTAGCCGTCTTAGATTTTTTGTAGGGGAGTATTAGATAAAGAAGTAAGGTAGTAAAGTAGTAAATTAAGCAGTAAAGGTCGTTAGTACTTTAGTAAAAACAGCTGGGACAACATCCTTATCTGATCAGTTTAAAAACTGTTTGACTACTTTTGCAGACATGGTTTTATTTACTAGTGCAAAGTCTTGATTTATTTGAATGGACACGACTAATACTCCAGTAGCAGGGAGTGCACACTCCAGTAGCAGGGAGTGCACACTCCAGTAGCAGGGAGTGCACACTCCAGTAGCAGGGAGTGCACACTCGACCCCTCTCTGCTACTGGAGTATAGTACGTGGTGCAACCACAGAATATAGATTGCCTACTGATAGCCTACGCAGTAAGCCCCATAGTTGGTCCACATTTAGCAATTACACTCTCGTCCGTTTAACAGAGTTAAGACTTGACATATAATTTACTTTCTGCTATTCAGTGACCAATATAAGTGACCTGGACAACGTAAAATATAGGGCTCTTTAACGTATTGTTAGTTACCCGAAGGAACAATGAACATACAGTTTTATAGACTTCCGTTCGTGACGAGCTAATACATTAAGATCAAGATACATATATTGATATATTGTTAATTATAATAATGAGGATATTGAATCGGTCGTTCGTCTTTTCTTCTTTTGTGAGTTTATAATTACTAGTTTGACGTAGGTAAGTCAGCACTCAGAAAATATAATTATGTCCTTGTTTAAACCTTTATACTATTTAATAGTTTGCAGCTTAATAAATCAAATGGGGGTTCACGAATCCATAGAAATCCTTCTTGATACGTGCCTGTAACCACGGTGTAGTAATTTACTTTTAGTGTTAACATAAAACTGTGTTATTTTATCTTGATTAAGCAATTTTACTTTTTTTTAGAATCATGATGTATCCAAGGCTTGTGTTGATGGCTTTGGTTTTCGTGACGTTAATCGGACCTGCTGATGCTGAACAAATAAAAGGTATGGACTATGCATAATTGATACTGATACTAAAATTTATCAATTAATAAGAACAGCTTCGATTATGATTGAATATACCTTATTGGATATCATTTGGTCGTTGATTAAGTTATCAAAATGTTCTTTTTTACCTTCTACAATAATAACAATTTGACAATATTTTAATTCAATTTCCACTCAATTTCACTCTGATAGTGATAGTGATAAAATTTAGAAATTGATCAGATATCCGACTACCTTATCGAACCTTATTTGGACGGACATTACTTGAACGCTGGAGGCCCTAGCGTTCATCTTAATGTCCGTTCAAATAAAGTCCGTTCATTTAATGTCCGTCCAAGTTAAAGTCCGTTGAATTTTTTTCGAAAATGTTTCCATTTCGAACTTTTTGTCCAGAATATGACAACTTTTAATTTCAGTCAATTTCAATAGCTATCAGTATCATTAAACTAAACTATATCGTTGAATCAATGAAAACTAGTTATTGTAAAATTTTAACGATCTAAATTGTAAATGTCACATTATGGCATTATCAATATCTTGATCTACATTTCTTTCCGAAAGACTTTGAGGTTATTTTTAACGAAAAACATTGGGCAAATGAATCTACAACAATACATTTTATCGAGAACATCATATAGTGCCGTATGTTAACGACGAAAAGTTCTCCTTGGTCTGCCGGAGGCACAGAAAACTTTTCTAGTATATGATGTTTTCAAGGATCACTTCAAGGGACGGAAAAATTCAACGAAATTATGGCACTCAACAACATAGTTCATGAGCTAGTCCCCGCCAACATCACACACTTGTTTCACATTTCAGCCTCTAGATATTACGTTAAATCGTGTTGCCAAGAACATTGTCCGACGTTATTATAGTTCATATTACTCAGGGGAGGTAATGAAACAGATAAGTGTTGGGAAATTGAAAGCTCCACGTGATGTTAAGGTTAACCTAAAGTTGTCTTAAATAAAACCACTTCACGCCGAATTGCTTATACTTATAGTTATAAAAGTTTACACTGAAATGTAGGACCGAGGTAGTTTGATTAAAAAAAAGGTTTCCAAAAAGCGGGTATTACTGATGCTTTAAGCATGGAATATTTAATGCACGAAAACCCATTTGATGAATATGATATGTGATAGAAGACAATAATCATGTACACATATTTTAACATGTTTACTGATTAAAAACTGCTTTTTTTGCTTACTGTATGAAAAATGGGTTTGAAAATTATTTGCTAAAATTTAAAAAAAGTTTTAAAAAAGATGAAAAAAATTCGGATTTTTGATGGTTTTGATTGCCTTCTAGCGTTCATATTAATGTCCGTTCATAATTATGTCCGTTCAAGTAATGTCCGTCCAAATAAGGTCCGATAAGGTATATAACTACTACTAGTGTAACCCGGCCTTCGGCCGGGATTTCACTGCCGCAGTTAAAAAGGGTAGGAGTATTTAAATTTACCTACTGAGTCAAAACCCGCATTATCTGAACAATTCTATTCGGAGTGCCCTCACGTATCCAATAGTATCTTAAACTTTATTAACTCCGCACCACACCCGCATATTTGAAAACATGCATTACATTGTCGTATAAAAGTATGAAAGTATGAACTATCTCTACAGTTCAAACAGACCGCTATAGGCGCTCACTCCCCTATAAATAAGTTTAAAGTATCCATGACAGTGTAATAATGATATATGTACCAACGATACATAATATTATGCAGTAATGGGAAAGAGAGCAAGCCCTGTAACTCTTACCGATTTCTTGATTAAGCTGCTCAAGCCATTTTATGTAACATTTGTGGTACAAAAACCATCAATCAAACCACTTACCACCGACCGATTTAAAAACCCTTTACCATTTGACTTCCTCGTAGTTTTGTCGGCACTATACCGAAAAAACCAGCCCCGTAACTTTTACCGTTTTCTTGATGAAGCCGCTCGGAAATTACACGCAGACACACAAACAGAACACACACACACACACACACATTCTGAGATTATTGTTTAAGATAACTAAAGTAGTTTGAAAGATGTTTGGCCGGATATCATAACAATAATTTCGCCTGATTATGATCAGGGTAGCATCAAACGTACTAAAAAGTGTTTCCAGGGAAAAATGAGAAAAAAGGCAAAAAGGGGGGGGGGGGGGGGGGGGGGGGGGTCTTGATTACGGTTGATTATTGAGGAGGGGAGGGGGTTAAAAATTGCCAAAATATTTATTTCGTAATATGTGAGAAACCCCTAAGTATACAAACCAGACTTAGCTCCACATCCCAAAGGATGACCCGACAGGAAAAAATACTCAATCAAGCTTTAAAAACGCTTAACTTGATGACGTCATCGTCCATCGAGTGATGATAATAAAGTTAAAATATTTTTGCATATTATTAAAACTTAAGTTTAGAGTAGAATACCTTAGTGATTGTTTCTAAACTTGACATCGTATGTTTTCCACTTCGTATAAACAATAATGAGCCAGAATGCCAGATATTGGAAAATATGTTTTTTAATCATCATGAGGCTGCCACGCCCTCCTAGTCCTTTAATGAACTAGAGGTCTGAAAATGTTTGCATCGACTCCAGAGGTCTTACAGCCTTTGTAGATCATATACGACATTCTCCGCGCGCTCCGATTCACAGATGTCCGATTAACCTCGCCCTGGCCTTGTTTACAAATTCCGATTTACTTCGTTCCAATTTACCGCAAATGCAGATTTACTGCGCTCCAATTTACCGCAAACGCAGATTTACCGTAAACCCCAATTTACCTCACTATCAAGCCATCGTTTATCAAGAAACTACTTTTATTCATTATTAACGTTTCTAAAAAGATTAACAAATGGGTTAACTCCAGCTCCAGACGAGTGTGTTGGTAAAGCGGATGGATCAGACTACAGGGGAACTGTATCTGTCACAGTATCAGGACACGTCTGCCAGAGATGGGACTCTCAATCACCTAATAAACACAGCAGAACTGCTGAGAGGTAAGTTTTCTTGGTGCTTCTAAGGCACAACAGGTATAAGCTAGTCTCACCCACAGGCGGCAACAATACGGCATAATCCAGATTTAGATTTATTCTTCGAAATGTTTCTAAAAGGGCTCTCGGAAGAATCCAAATTGTTAGTTACGATTCACAAAACTACCTACTTTAGGACAATAGCTTATTACAAAAACATTTTCAGATACTCTGATTCAGGACTGCAAGAGAACTATTGCAGAAATCCAGACGGGTAAGTCTTCAATATCTGATATCTGGTATCTGGCAGTGTTCCATAATCATTGTTCCATAATAAATTCTTCATTATAACATGTGTCATCATTTTCCTCAGTGAATCAGGCGCCTGGTGTTATAATGCTGAGGGAACTGTGCCTCGATGGGAGTATTGTGATATACCTACATGCAGTGGTAAGTATTTTGATCTTAAAGCTAAATCATAAATACTCATAATATTATAGCTGAAATCATGTGTGGCGTGTGTCTATACTCTCAGTTCCGAAATTTTAAAGGTTGCGTGTGGGTGCAGTTACTTCACTTAGGGGTTGTTCACAAAAAATTGTTTTTTCTTTTTTCTTCTTTTGATCCTAAGTGCAGTCAAATTTTGAAATAAAGATATGAATTAATATTTTTTTCGTTTCAGTTGAAAGTGATTGTCACGACGATGCTGCTGATTGCATTCAATGGGCTTCTTTGGGGCATTGTGACACAGGTTTGTATAATTTCCCATTTTACACTGAGAAAACACAATAAAAAAGACATTGATTGTATTCAGGTTATATCTCTTCGGGGAATCTGTTGGAATTATCCAAATGTGTTAAGTTAAGTAGTAATACAAGGAGGAACAGGAACACATTTTACACATGATTCAAAATTATATCCAATGCGATAACTATAAATCATCCAACAGGAGATTACATTCTGTACATGAAAGAGAACTGTAAAAGAAGCTGCAATATTTGCACAAAAGGTACAGTTCTGTTTTGAGAATTATAATTGCGTTTCCCCGGGAGAACGCAATTATAATTCAGATCAAATTTATGGGAGAACTTCTCCCATAAATTTGATCTGAATATTGTTCAGGGACTGGGGAGGTTGGGGTTGTTACTAAATACAATATTTCGTAGCATAATATATACATTTCAATTTTCACGTCCACCAAATAGCTTTATATTGCATTATTTGCGATTATTCAATCAATGAAACAAGAAATTTTTCAATGAAACAAGAAATTTAATTTTAGCACATTTTTACAGAATAAAAAGATGTAAAATAATTCATAAAATATAATGCCCATTTGGTGTATGACTTTTTGTCCTGACTGCTAGTTTGGTTTATGAAGGACAGGTAACTAACGGGGCAAGGAATGCGCGTGCCTGGAAGCTTTTGCACACACCGAAACGCTAGTTCAGTTAAGTTTTTAGAGACAAGGCTCAGATTAGGACTAGAAGAAAAATTGTTAGCAGACATTAGAGGTTCTGTTTATAATTGTTACTATAGGTTGCAGTCTTGTTGTGACAAAAAGTCTACACTAAAACATGATTTAGTTTATATTTAGGATATAAAATGCAGCTTCAAGGTGGATATTGGAGAGCTGGTGAAAGATTATGGCCTTTGTATCAATTGTTATAATAAGCTATAAATATCTTAAACTATACAGTGCTAATTAAAAATTTCTTTAACCTTCATTCTCAAATTAGATTTTTTAAATTCAAAAATAAATATACAATGATTTTATTAAAACTTTCTCACACATACTTTACTCACAGGACAAGACTTGGAAAACAGTGGCCTAGCGTAATTTTAATTGAGATGTGTGTGACCAGCCAGTTATGTTTGGACAATAACATTTGTGCAGTCAAAATCTTTGACGGTCCAATCAAGCAGGGCGTGATTATGTTGATTAGCTAATAGCGCACGTTTTAACTTACCTCGCAAGCACATTACACTAGTAGTAAAGTCAGTCATTCTGAACTTTGGGGTTAAAATGTTAAAAATTTTGGTTGATCTAGTGTTGTGATTGTCAGGTGGGTCTGCCTGACAGATTAGAAGACAGGGTTTCCTTGAGGAACATGTGTAACCCTCATGTAGGGATATTGGAGCACGGAATTTCATTATCTTGTAGAGCTCGAGGTAACTGTGGTATGTATAGAGATTTTGTATAGATAGAATATTATTATGCTTAAATATCGGTTTGGTGTGCTCTTTTATGAAAAATTTTTGGTCAAGTTTCTGGTGTCCTATGGGCCTAGTACGTGCACAAGTCTTGAACTTATCAAGGTACGCCAGCCTGTCACCAAATAGTACTCTGAGACAGTACTTCTGAGCAGTAAATAATGAGCTTATACGTTGTTTCGCTGCCCCACCCCATACAGATATACAGTAGGAAAGATGTGATTCGAACAGGGTATAATATAATTGTTGGTGTAGAAATTCTGGAAGGGAGCAGCGAAGTCTACATAAAGTGGATGTGGAATGATTTAGAGTTCGCTTAAGTGCTTTGATGTGATCATCCCATGATAGGTTCTCGTCAATTATAACACCCAGAAATTTTGCGGATGAAACCTTTTTGATTGGAAAGTTGTCTATAGTTAATGCAACTTCAGGGTGTGATAAAGTCTCTGACTTAGAACCTGCCATGGTGGGTTTGAAGTGTATGTAGCAGCACTTGGACATGTTTATATGTAACTTATTCGCTCTCATATAAGACTTCAATGATGACAAAAGCTCATTTCCTCGTTCATATGCCTCACGTTTTGTTTTGCCGACAACAAATATATTGGTATCATCAGCAAAGGTAACAAATGATCCTAGTTTAGAATTGTTTGTGATGTCGTTCATATAAAGAAGAAATAGGAGAGGTCCAAGAATTGAACCCTGTGGGACACCAAATTGGATAGATAGGGTATCTGATTTTTCTCCTACAACTTCGGTGTATTGTTGCCTGTTTGTCAAGTAGCTTTTGATGAGGTTATTTGCAACTCCTCTCACTCCACATCCCTCTAATTTTATAAGAAGTGTTGAATGGTCGATAGTGTCAAAAGCTTTGCTTAGGTCAATGAATATTCCTAAAACATGATTCTTAAGTTTAAGAGATTTCGTAATCAAATTTACAGAGTAATTGACTGCATGAGATGTTGAGTGAGATTTCCTAAATTCAAACTGTGTCTTCGATATAACTCCCTGGGAGCTAACAAATCCGTATATTCTAGAATATATGAGCTTTTCAAAGATCTTACCGAAGACGGACAGTGTGGAGATAGGACGGTAGTTCTCGATTTCTTCTGGGTTACCTTTCTTATATACAGGAGTTATTTTACCAGTCTTCAGGACATCTGGAAATATACCTTTGGTCATAAGGATATTGAAGTAATTCGATAATACAGGTGCAATTACATGAGATGACTTTTTTACTACACTTATGGGAATGTCACTGGCTTTACCATTTTCGAACTCGCTTATGATTTTCAATATTTCGTTCGAGGAGCAATCTTCTAGCCTAATATTTTTTTCATTTCTTGGGTTCAGGAAGTCATAGAAAGTTTTCATGGGTAATATAGGCAGACCATAAGATAGATTATTCAGTGTCTCATTCAGCTTTGGTGCAATAGAGACAAACCAAGTATTGAATCCATTAGCAATAGCTCTTCTATCAACTATTCTTTGGTTGTCAATGATAAATGGGGGCTTGGTTTGCCTCTTCTTTTTGCCCCTGAGTTCGTTAATAATTTGCCAGGTTTTCTTGCTATTTTCACAGTTGTTTAGGATTTCGTTACAGTAATGCCAACGTTTGGCAGCTTTAATGATAGCTTTAAGCATCCTACGATAATCACTAAATACTTGGTAGAGCAAGATATTACCACCAGGGTTCTTATTAGTAACGGTGTCAGACCACTCCTTACGCAGTTCATGCTTTCTTTCTACAGACTGGATGATACTGTCTGTAATCCATGGGTTAAGTTTGGGAGTTCTTTTTGTCACTTTTGGTACCTCCAGTTTGCAATGTTTGTCAAATACCTGGTCAAAACATGCCGATTATTTGATTCCTTCAAGTGCTTAAAACTCATACTCTAACATTTTTAAATTTCACTTTCAGTGTATTGTCCTCCACTCTCAGTGGAACATGGATTTCTAAGTCCGGGTGGTGAAGTCCCCGCAGGAGTTTCAGTCACGATATTCTGTGATGTAGGATACAGACTTGATTCAGAATCAAATACCACTGCTAAATGCACGGAGTCAGCTGTTTACAGTCACAAAATAGATTCGTCGACAACATGCATCCAAATTACAAAAGGTAATACTAAAATAATACCATGAATACCTTTTGACATCAGAGGCACATATTAGGTGCGATGGGTGCGGGATCGCACAATTTACCGTTTTCCGCACATGTCCGCATAATTTATTGTTTTCCGCACATGTCCGCACATTTTGTAATTTTCTGCATATTTCCGCATAATCTAGCATTTTCCGCGTGATTTCGCATAATTTTGAAATTTTCGCGTTAAGATTTTCGAGTGTAAAAACCAAAATATGTTATAGTCGGGCCCTTTTAGGACCGTGTCTCAGGCCCTTTCGGGACCCTGACCCAGGCCCTTTTAGGACCGTGACTCAGGCCCTTTCGGGACCCTGACCCAGGCCCTTTTAGGACCGTGATTCAGGCCCTTTCGGGACCGTGACCCAGGCCCTTTTGGAACTCATACCTAGGCCACGTGACCCAGTTACCTCGTGACACAGGCCCTTTCGGGACCCTGACCCAGGCCCTTTCGGGACCGTGACCCAGGCCCTTTTGGAACTCGTGCCTAGGCCACGTGACCCAGTTACCACGTGACACAGGCCCTTTCGGGACCCTGACCCAGGCCCTTTCGGGACCGTGACCCAGGCCCTTTCGGGACCGTTACCCAGGCCCTTTTGGGACCGTGACCCAGGCCCTTTCGGGACCGTTACCCAGGCCCTTTCGGGACCGTGATCCAGGCCCTTTCGGACCGTGACCCAGGCCCTTTCGGGACCGTGACCCAGGCCGTTATGAAACCCTCGTCGTTACCATACTTTGATTATAGTTTATCAGTTATCATTCGTAACTTCACCACGTCACTGTTCTCAGATAACTGAATCTCAATATAGGTTCAATCATGGTCTTAGTAAAGAACTACACCCTCAGTAACACATAAACAGACCTATTTTTGATAAGAGCGGCGGTTATACGTTTAGAATTTCCAAAGTCCTTGAGAAAATGCAAAAGAAAACTGCACAATTCCCGCACAAATTTCGAAAAAATCGCCGCACATTTGCCGCATAATTGGTAAAAATTTACCGCAACTTACCGCACATTTTACCTTTATAGTCGGGTGCGGTACCGCATAATTTCGATTTTTTTACCGCACCTAATATGTGCCTCTGTTTGACATCTATATAGACAGAATTGTAAAACTTCACAGGGTATGATCATATTCAAAATAAAAACCTTTGATACTTGTTGTTTGTGCACCAGCTTTTGCCTTTGGTACACTGGTTAATATTTACTTTAATATAAAAGTATTTCATATAGAAGAATTACATAAAATTAGATAAATATATCAAATATTCTACCTGTCAGATGAATATTTGATATAACATATTATACATTTATCACATGCCTTCTCATGCGATATCAAAACTTTCGCCCACGAGGCTTGCCGAGTTAGCGAAAGTTTCGATATTTCCCGAGGCTTGCCGAGGGTTATATCGACATTTTCAATCACGAGGCTTGCCGAGTTTTGAAAATGTTGATATCGCATGAGAAGGCATGTGATTAATGTTTTATCACACTTTCTTTGGAGCCAAATTTGGCCGGGAAAGCAGAATTTGATCAAACGTTAGAACTTATAAATCTCACCAAAGCAAACTAGACGTGTCGAACTTATTTATGTTTATAATTTCCAAGCTATATATAGCTCTTGATGAGTTAGTATTTCAGATATCGAAGATACAATATGTAAAATTAGGATCTCACGTTCCCACATTTATGACACAGTGAATGCTGTATGCCGCGCCCAATTTGCTTTCTATAATTGGTACGTAGTGCATCGAATATCAATATATTCACGCCTATGGGTCTTGTACTTATTGCATTCTAGAATATTCCACCACGAGCGCGTATTTTAATCATAAATTATTTCCTGCATATCAATCGATGTGAGGTGATTCTTATACTTTATTTCTATTAGATATATTTTGAGTCATAAAACTGAAGATGTATAATGTATAGAACAGCTGTTTTAGTGTTGATTACATCCTAGTCCTTATCATGTAATACTAATCTGCGATAAGGTGATAGTATTTCCTGGTTGTTATATTTGAATTGGGCTGTGGCGCCATGATTGTCTATTCATAAGAAGCAGAATTTGATCAAACGTTAGTTATAAATCTCACCAAAGCAAACTAGACATGTCGAACTTATTTATGTTTATAATTTCCAAGCTATATATACTTATAGCTCTCGATGAGTTAGTATTTCAGATATCGAAGATACAATACGTAAAATTAGGATCTCACGTTCCCACATTTATGACACAGTGAATGCTGTATGCCGCGCCCAATTTGCTTTCTATAATTGGTACGTAGTGCATCGAATATCAATATATTCACGCCTATGGGTCTTGTACTTATTGCATTCTAGAATATTCCACCACGAGCGCGTATTTTAATCATAAATTATTTCGTGCATATCAATCGATGTGAGGTGATTCTTACACTTTATTTCTATTAGATATATTTTGAGTCATTAAAACTGAAGATGTATAATGTATAGAACATCTGTTTTAGTGTTGATTACATCCTAGTCCTTATCATGTAATACTAATCTGCGATAAGGTGATAGTATTTCCTGGTTGTTATATTTGAATTGGGCTGTGGCGCCATAATTGTCTATTCATAAGAAGCAGAATTTGATCAAACGTTAGTTATAAATCTCACCAAAGCAAACTAGACATGCCGAACTTATTTATGTTTATAATGTCTAAGCTATATATTTATATATTATATAGATCTCGATGAGTTAGTATTTCAGATATCGAAGATACAATATGTAAAATTAGGATCTCACGTTCCCACATTTATGACACAGTGAATGCTGTATGCCGCGCCCAATTTGCTTTCTATTGGTACGTAGTGCATCGAATATCAATATATTCACGCCTATGGGTCTTGTACTTATTGCATTCTAGAATATTCCACCACGAGCGCGTATTTTAATTATAAATTATTTCCTGCATATCAATCGATGTGAGGTGATTCTTATACTTTATTTCTATTAGATATATTTTGAGTCATTAAAACTGAAGATGTATAATGTATAGAACATCTGTTTTAGTGTTGATTACATCCTAGTCCTTATCATGTAATACTAATCTGCGATAAGGTGATAGTATTTCCTGGTTGTTATATTTGAATTGGGCTGTGGCGCCATAATTGTCTATTCATAAGAAGCAGAATTTGATCAAACGTTAGTTATAAATCTCACCAAAGCAAACTAGACATGCCGAACTTATTTATGTTTATAATGTCTAAGCTATATATTTATATATTATATAGATCTCGATGAGTTAGTATTTCAGATATCGAAGATACAATATGTAAAATTAGGATCTCACGTTCCCACATTTATGACACAGTGAATGCTGTATGCCGCGCCCAATTTGCTTTCTATTGGTACGTAGTGCATCGAATATCAATATATTCACGCCTATGGGTCTTGTACTTATTGCATTCTAGAATATTCCACCACGAGCGCGTATTTTAATTATAAATTATTTCCTGCATATCAATCGATGTGAGGTGATTCTTATACTTTATTTCTATTAGATATATTTTGAGTCATTAAAACTGAAGATGTATAATGTATAGAACATCTGTTTTAGTGTTGATTACATCCTAGTCCTTATCATGTAATACTAATCTGCGATAAGGTGATAGTATTTCCTGGTTGTTATATTTGAATTGGGCTGTGGCGCCATGATTGTCTATTCATAAGTCCAAATTTTCAACTGTTCATGTTGTACTCGTACTACAAGCCCTAATACATATATCAACAATATTATCGTCCGTCTTGATTGTCTGTTATTTCAGAATGATTTATCACTGGAACTTGTAATCATTGACTTTTATTGAATTTTATCGAGTATTATAATAGTCTGCTTATATTCATCTTGCCATTATTTGCTTCACTAGAAATTATCAGAACAGCCGTACTAATATAATGTATCTCTTCAATACAACTCTAGATTGTTTTAATATCAAGAGCAGACATCCGTACTCTTTAGTATTGTTTATGAAAGTAACTCTTGACTTAATAGATTCTTGTTTTGTGTGTTTTCTTCGTTCGAATTAATCAAACATCGTTTAGTGTTTACTATTTTTTGTGAGGGCGACTGTAGTTTGTTCTGACACTTCCTTTTTAATTTCAAGTAAGCGATTAAGGAAATCAATTAGCCTGATTGATTGTATCGCTGACAAGTACCAAAACTTTGTGCAACTTTCAAGTCTGCTTGTAAACTTTGATCTCGTTTTCAGTAATCTTAAGTCACTTAAAGCTCGTACAAGCCAAGGAGTTTTTACTTTGTTTCATCATCCGAAGCCTAATTAGGCTTTGAACTATGAAGTGCAGTAAAAAAGCAACAGCTTGAAAAAGTATTACAACAAAAAATTTTATTTCGCTTAACACATCTCAAACGCAAGGAAATGTTTTAAAAACTAACTATATTTACATATTTTTCCTAATACTGGAAAGTTAATCTGATCATTGCATTTACGGTCATAGACTACTTCAGGTTGTTGATTTAAATCTTTATTTAAATCAGTACCTCACAGTAGTAGAACAGTTGTTGAGTGTGGGCTCCTTGTTCCTATGGGAATGTCGGGATCTCTCTGAGCAACTGATTGATATTTCATGCCCCCGGGTGAGAGCCAGTGCTCCCCATCGGGGCATGTAATATCAATTCTGCTTTCCTGCCAAATTTGGCTCGAAAGTGTGATAATATGTGTTATTTGATACATCTTATATTCATATTTTGGCCTCTTAATTTAATACTTTTGAATGATTTCAGAGCGCCGCGAAAAGTTTGCCAATTTTGAATTAAAGGAATACAACTATTCGGACATTCATAGAAAGCAAATCTTTACAACTGATATGGTGTTGGAAGTTTCCTCGACCTTCTACATTCATGCTCTATTCACTGGAGATTATGGAAAAGGATGTGGATTCACATTTAACCTTGTGGACAACGATGACTACAGCATGTATCATCTCGACTTTCGACTTCACAATAAAAACAGATACAGAAAGCTAATTGTATCTTCGAAAATAAGCAAATATCAATGGGCAGAAGGATTTGAAGCAAACTTGCCTGATTTAACGAGAGAAAACGAGATATATGTGCTGGTAACTGAAAAGTATTATGTACTGACTATCAACAGAAAAGAGATAGAGCAGAAATTTAAGGTCGACCTGAATAGATTACGAAAATACAAAGGGATGATGATAAAATACTATGGAAAGTGCATGCATATTCTTACAAATAGAAGTTACATGACAAACGGAGGTAATTTTGTTTTTATTTTGTATTGCATTAATTTAAAGCACCTTTGCTATATTTTGTCTAAAATAAATAAACTCAACCGTTTCTTCAAATTAATCGAAATTCCATATAATCCCTTGATTGTGAGTTATAATCAGTATTTAATAAGATAGTTAGATTTTTTGACGTTTAAACGTTCAGTACATTATTTTCAACAATAATGGAAAATCTTCAATCAGGGGGATTTCTATTCAGCTTAATAGATAAGCACAATAAAAATATAAGATTAGGACAAAATGCCGGTCTTCTTGTTGCAAACCGAGCTGGATACTCCAAGGTAAGTTGCTGAATGACTATAGATCTAATAATTTCCACCAATACTAAAATGTACTTCACAAGTTTAACATTGCCTAAAATATATGTTTGCCAACCAACGGTGAAGGATAATCTGAAAATTTTCCCATTAAAAGGGACTATTATAAAAATAGCTGTATTGTAAAATTAAATTTTGAATTCGTCAACGCCCGAACCTAATATAAGCACTTCAAACAGTAATTTATTGATAACAGCTGATATTTTATTTTTTCAACTCAGTCAGGAGTAGTTTGTGGACAGAACGTCAATGACAAATCAGCTAGTCTGCCTGGTAACTTGGTTACCTGGTTACCTGGTTACCGGGTTACCAGGTTACCAGGTTACCAGGTTAATGTTTCAACACTCAGGCTGGAGTAGTTTGCGGACAGAACTTCAATGACAAATCAGCTAATCTGATTTGTCAAGAAATGGGATACAGAGGAGCTGAAAACTGGACAATAGGTCAAAATTGGAACGTACAAAAACATTACGAAACAATGTTGTCTGAAGTGGTTTGTGACGAAGATAACGAAACGTTCAGAGAATGTGCTTATAAAACCCTGAACGCATCTGTTTGCAATCATCATCAAGACGTATTCCTGACTTGCTTTTCAAACAAAGGTAGGCATTGAAGCATATTCAAATTTCGACCTTTAAGGCTAAATAAAGGTATCTATATTCCACAAAAATTCGATTAAAAATATTTTAAAAAACTTTTAAATCGTTTCTTTTGACACCTTAATTTATTTGAATGCACACGAACTTTCCAGATACCTGTAAGATTTCACAACACAACAGCTTCTTGAAAAACATCTGCACAGACTACAATGGAAATAAATACTTCCAATGTCTGGAGTCTGAGACGTTTTACAGTATCGAAGCAGCTTTGCCTGGATGGAGTAAGTTTAGTGAGTTGTGTGAAAATGATCCTAAGTTCTATCAAACATGTGGTGCAGGACACAATGAAGAGCTGAAGTCCGATGACAACTTCTTTTGCGGGTACTATATCTGCCAAGAGAAGAATGGAATATTCACCAGTGGATACAAGGCTGACATTTCTTACTCGTGCAACAAGGAGAGCGAGTGTGTTAACACTGACTTGGACGAAGCTAACTGCACGCAATACAGTGGGACAAATTTAACTCGATCAAAAATATGTGATGGATATTGTGACATAGAATACTGTGAGGATGAATTAGAATGCAATGGATACCGCTATGGAATAAACTGCGGAGATCACTATTGTCCTCCTAATCTGGTGGGACTGGAGGATCATCAGAATACCGCTTCATTGACAAAGAATATGACAACTTTTGGCGCATTTAGGGAAATATTTGAAACTAATCTTACCATTCATAGTTGCAATCACTTTCTCAAACCATACTCGATTTCGGATGTCATCGGGCTGGAAGATGAATCCCCACTCCCAGTCCCTATTCTGAACTACACCAGATGCAGCCCCTTCAAGTATACACAAGCAGCTATTGACAAAGCTTTCTGGTTAAATCAAACATACAGTCCATATTGTGAAGACTATCTAGATCAAACAAACTGTTCCGACCCCTCCAAAGTTGGTTTATCTTGCAGAGTCAATGGATATCAGGCGACCGTTTCGGAACAAATGTTGTGTCATGGAATAAAAGATATGAGCCTATGTAGTGATGGAATAGAAAATGTGTGCGTTGATCTTTCATCCACATGTAGCAATATACACAAACATAAAATGTGTGACAATACTTCAGACTGTTATGATGAAAGTGATGAAGAAAACATCATCTGCTCGCTACTCACTGAGGATACTTGTCGTCGACGAGTTGGTGACAAAGATTTGAAAATACCACTTGCCTGGTTAAAAGATGGCGTAAAAGATTGTAAAGATGGGGAAGACGAACTGAACGAATGGCCAACTTGTGGAATGGGCGAAACTGTTCGTTTTGTGACCCATAGCGATATAAAATCTTGTACAGATGACTACATCTGCTTACATGGAGACAAAAAGTTCATCGGAATGGATGAATTCTGTGACGGAGTAGATACATGTGGAAATGAAAATGCTGTATGCAAACTATCGCGAGACAAGCCTGATGTTCATGGAATGCATGCTACGATGTCATCAACAGATACCGTCCAAATATCTTATTGTCTTAAAGGACTAACGACATTGGAAAAGCTCGCCTCAAAATGTAATCCAAGGAATTTTAACTATCCAAAGGGGAATGTTTTTGGGTTGACGGAAAGAAAAAAGTTATTTCTGCCCAAAAGTATATTCAACTGCGAATATTTGCATGGAGAACTGTACATTTACATGAGTTGTGAAGGGAAATGCAGTAATGATGCCAAATGTCCACTGGTAAAGCCAGTCAGTCATGATTCCTGTCCGGGACAGTTTCCCGATCGAGTTTATACGGTAGTCGATAATGATCAACTGACATTTTTGATAAACACTGAAGAATCGTACAGCAGTGATATATTCGTATGTGAAAACAATCGTTGTGTGACCTTTGACAAAGTCTGTGACCTAGTTGATGACTGTGGAGATGGAAGTGATGAAATATTGTGCACGAATCATTTTCGATGTAAAGATAGTAAAGCTAGCCTGATCGCAATGACGCAGCAGTGTGATGGAGTATTTGACTGCATGGACCTTTCTGATGAGTGTAATGAACGCTGTGGCAAAAACATTATCGAAGATAAAATTCTTAAGGGGGTTTCATGGGCGATTGGAATCTTGGCAGTCATTCTAAACTGTGTAGTTTTGATTCAAAGCATAACTGCCTTTAAAAAGTGTTCTACAGCTATGTCATTGCTCAATAAACTCCTCATCATGCTTATAAGCCTGGGGGATTTCCTAGTCGGAGGATACCTGCTAACAATTTCTGTTGTTGATCATGTCAAGGGTGACCAGTATTGCCAAACTCAAAAGGCCTGGTTGACAAGCACATCTTGCTCGGTGCTAGGTGTTGTCAGCACTGTTGGTTCCCAGTTCTCTCTCTTCTCGATGACTATACTGAGCATTGCTAGAATGTACGGAATCAAGAATGCAATGAAATTGGGTGGTCACTTGTCAAAGATTGGCGTGCTCAAAAACATTGTCATCATCCTCACAGTTATTATTGCATCTTTTGCAATAGCAATGATTCCGCTCCACCCTTCCTTGGGTGACTACTTTGTGAATGGCTTATCATACAGCACTAATATTCCGCTTTTTGCTGGCTTTCCTGACAAAAATAAACACAAAAGTGTGCTTAAGGCTTACTATGGGAGAATGAAAGATCGGGATCTTTCTTGGAAAGTGATAATCGATCTAATGAACAGTATGTTTACGTCGAATTATGGTGGACTTACTCATACAGAAGCCGGTTTCTATGGCAACGACGGTGTCTGCCTTTTTAAATACTTCGTTGGAGCTGATGATCCGCAAAAACGGTATGTTTGGGCTATATTGATGATCAACTGCGTTTGCTTCATGGTGATATCACTGTCATACATTGTTATTGCTGTGACATCAACCAGATCTTCCAAAAGTCTTACAAAGAACAAATCAAACACTATGGTCAGGCACAGAAACCGGAAAATGAACCGCAAAGTAGCAATCATCATCTTCACTGACTTTTGCTGTTGGATACCTTTTATTGGTACGTGTGCTCTGCACACTATTGGTGTTATAGACGCCAGCCCATGGTATGCTCTGTTTTCAATTTTGGTGCTGCCAATCAATTCAGTGATAAACCCCCTGCTGTACGACAACACCTTGACAACAAAAGTCTCTGCTAGTGTGAAAAGTGTGTCACGATCTGGAAAATCTTGGGCAACACTTACATCGCTTAACTTAAAAAAAGTAGATAATGATGAAAAAGTACCAAATGCTGGTTGCATCACAGCAGAGGAGCTCCCAGGCCCTTCAAATAAACCGAATAATATGGAGATGGCTCGAAGGGCATGTAAAAACTTCCAGGGTATTGCCGAAGAAAGTAAACAGACTCCGGGTAAACGCACCAAAGACATATCTGATGTTTAATTAAGTGGGATGAGTCCTCTGCGATCTCATTTGATCTATGCATCCATTCACATTTGATCCATTTGGTTTTGGTATGCTTTACAGATTACAAAGATACGCTTTCACTTTGGGTGGGGGTGGGGGGAGCCATTTTTGAGGAAAGGAATTTGCAATATGACATTTGTGGTGAAATTCAACAGGAATACGCAGAGACTTGGTGGATTGAACTCTTATTTCATTTTATATTGTTTTGTGATTGGTTCTGTCACTATACCTTTTTCTTTGGGATTGAAATGCACAAAATCGCTGCATATTTTGATTTTTATTTATTGAAAAGGATTTAACAATTTGTAGGCAATCAAAAATGGCAAATATTGTCGAATCCATATCTTTAAAATCTTTCAAAAGCAGAAAAATCCGTTTTACTTTCTAGAAACTTACCTTTTTCCAACTTATAAGGGATCGTCCTATTCCTTATTAGTTACCATGGTTACTAGCTACTACTATTCCTTATTCATATACTCGGGGACTCAGCGATCTGACCACCATATACGTCATTAAGAGATGATTATTGATTAACGTGCAAGCTATCGTGGGAAGTTAAAGTATTTTTGACATTCTGATATCTGGATATTATCCGGTTGTTATATAGTTTTGTGTTATATAGTAGTGTTGAAAGTATTAATACTGTTTTAATACTTTCAACACTACTATATAACAAATAATTTGAGCCTTGTCTCTTCCAACCGGATAATATCCAGATATCAGTATTTCAATCATGAGACTAATAAACAGCGAACTACTCCGTTATTTGATATTTTTGACATTTAGGAACTAATTAACATATGCACAATTAAGAAAGTTTAGGAACCAATTAACATATGCACAACTAAAAAAGTTTAGGAACCAATTAACATATGCACAACTAAGACAGTTTAGGAACCAATTAACATATGCACAACTAAGAAAGTTTAGGAACCAATTAACATATGCACAACTAAGAAAGTTTAGGAACAAATTAACATATGCACAACTAAGAAAGTTTAGGAACCAATTAACATATGCACAACTAAGAAAGTTTAGGAACCAATTAACATATGCACAACTAAGACAGTTTAGGAACCAATTAACATATGCACAACTAAGAAAGTTTAGGAACCAATTAACATATGCACAACTAAGAAAGTTTAGGAACCAATTAACATATGCAAAACTAAGAAAGTTTAGGAACCAATTAACATATGCACAACTAAGAAAGTTTAGGAACCAATTAACATATGCACAACTAAGAAAGTTTAGGAACCAATTAACATATGCACAACTAAGAAAGTTTAGGAACCAATTAACATATGCACAACTAAGAAAGTTTAGGAACCAATTAACATATGCACAACTAAGAAAGTTTAGGAACAAATTAACATATGCACAGCTAAGAAAGTTTAGGAACCAATTAACATATGCACAACTAAGAAAGTTTAGGAACCAATTAACATATGCACAACTAAGAAAGTTTAGGAACCAATTAACATATGCACAACTAAGAAAGTTTAGGAACCAATTAACATATGCACAACTAAGAAAGTTTAGGAACCAATTAACATATGCACAACTAAGAAAGTTTAGGAACCAATTAACATATGCACAACTAAGAAAGTTTAGGAACCAATTAACATATGCACAACTAAGAAAGTTTAGGAACCAATTAACATATGCACAACTAAGAAAGTTTAGGAACCAATTAACATATGCACAACTAAGAAAGTTTAGGAACCAATTAACATATGCACAACTAAAAAAGTTTAGGAACCAATTAACATATGCACAACTAAGACAGTTTAGGAACCAATTAACATATGCACAACTAAGAAAGTTTAGGAACCAATTAACATATGCACAACTAAGAAAGTTTAGGAACAAATTAACATATGCACAGCTAAGAAAGTTTAGGAACCAATTAACATATGCACAACTAAGAAAGTTTAGGAACCAATTAACATATGCACAACTAAGAAAGTTTAGGAACCAATTAACATATGCACAACTAAGAAAGTTTAGGAACCAATTAACATATGCACAACTAAGAAAGTTTAGGAACCAATTAACATATGCACAACTAAGAAAGTTTAGGAACCAATTAACATATGCACAACTAAGAAAGTTTAGGAACCAATTAACATATGCACAACTAAGAAAGTTTAGGAACCAATTAACATATGCACAACTAAGAAAGTTTAGGAACAAATTAACATATGCACAACTAAAAAAGTTTAGGAACCAATTAACATATGCACAACTAAGACAGTTTAGGAACCAATTAACATATGCACAACTAAGAAAGTTTAGGAACCAATTAACATACGCACAACTAAGAAAGTTTAGGAACCAATTAACATACGCACAACTAAGAAAGTTTAGGAACCAATTAACATACGCACAACTAAGACAGTTTAGGAACCAATTAACATATGCACAACTAAGACAGTTTAGGGACCAATTAACATATGCACAACTAAGAAAGTTTAGGAACCAATTAACATATGCACAACTAAGAAAGTTTAGGAACAAATTAACATATGCACAACTAAGATAGTTTAGGAACCAATTAACATATGCACAACTAAGAAAGTTTAGGAACCAATTAACATATGCACAACTAAGAAAGTTTAGGAACCAATTAAAATATGCACAACTAAGAAAGTTTAGGAACCAATTAACATATGCACAACTAAGAAAGTTTAGGAACCAATTAACATATGCATAACTAAGAAAGTTTAGGAACCAATTACCATATGCACAACTAAGAAAGTTTAGGAACCAATTAACATATGCACAACTAAGAAAGAACCAATATGGTAAAACATAAAGCAATTATGAAGGATATTTTATCTAAAACAAGTGAAATATTAATCAATGGGATGTTTTACAATGTATATTCTGCTAACCAGTTTACACTTACTTAGTCACGGTTCTTTAGATTATGGAATTGGAGACTGCCCGGGAAACTACACGATGTGTCGGGTCGGATCAACCTGGATAGAATTTACTTTCAGTGTGTCGTATAGAATTTAAATGGATATTGGAAACGGGAATAGACACTATAGAAATATAAAATTAACGTCAAACTCTTGTTTTAAGTTATGTTTGTTTGGGTTGATGTCGTTCTGTTGTTGGCGGCAGGATGAAATTAGTTGGAAATTCAAAAACAAAAGTTATATTTCATTGAAATTATAATTATCCAGCCCAGCCATGTCCTGGTCAGCACGTGGACCACGGAACGGTAATGCCAGGAACTAGCGTGGAACCAGGAGATAGGGTCAGGGTGTCGTGTGACCGAGACTATTACCCCTCCCACTCTTACCACCTCACATGTGTTACTAAGAACACGTTCTTTTAGCAACTACCGCGGTGTTTACGTGAGTTTACATCTAATTTGTTTGGAAACCTTGCACTTTCCTAAGTTAGTGGACCCAAATTCAGAAATAAATTTACAAATTTCGAAGGTTAGATTGATTTCCAGTTTCAGTTCCATGTATGTAATTTTATGGTTTTGTTTTCAGCCAGTAACTGTGCAGTTGGGACTGTCGAGAACTCCACAAATCTACACATTAGAAGTTATAAGCCAGGTAGATTCAGATATTATCCGTCTCTTCTATTCAGGATATAGTTTTCAACCTATCCTTCAACTCTTTTAACCACTGGTACTACCACTTACCACTCTCTTAACATACTCTTCACTTCACTTTTTCTGATCAAGTCATCGGATTGCAAATCTTCAAACTTGTACAATAACGGATAACACAATAAAACCACTTTAACTAGATGACTAACAGAATTTAATTGATTAGCGCTGGAACCATCGCCTGTTAAACTTATTCGTATGAATAAACTTCCAGTAGAATTCACTTTAAATGCTTAACATCGGCTCTAAAAGTGCGTTGTGCTTTCTCCTAGCTAAAATATCAACAAATTATCAACCGTAAAATAAAAACATGATACTCCTAAAACAATGAAGGCGATGACAAAGAATTTAACGTGACGACTTGGCCAGTAATTACTTTTATCTAGCAATAGTTATAGTATAAGATATACAAGAAGATAGGTCATAGCCCCATAGATTATATCATGCAAGAAAGAAACACGATCAAAAACCCTTTTTATCAGAATATTCGCCAAGTCAATAATCAAACAGTCCCACCAGAAGAAGTCTAGTTTGTTCTTTTCAGTTTGAATTAGCAGATGTATCCAACAGATATCCATTCTACATTCCAACCCCAGGACTCAGCGTTTCCATCCTGAGGATCGTACTTTGGTCCATCTACATATATACTAAAAGATGTTGTGGTTGTGTCGTGGACTGCAGCAAGACCGGTACTTTTCCAAAGATAAAAGTTTCCCTCAACCGAGATGGTGACAGTTGGTACCTTGACAAACCCGCAGTCGCTAATGTCCACACTCAAATTGACACCGGTAGAAGAAAAATCAATCCAATTTGTGGTGCCTCGACCAGTGGTTCCAGAACATACTCTAGCACATCCAGCCTCACCTGCTTCTTCCTCCCCACTCACTATCATCACCTCCCTAGGGCTAGCTTTTAGGTCCGCCATATCTTCCTCAACTGAGGTCTTCAGGTTTGCCATTTCACTATCAACTGTGGTCATCAGGTTCGTCATCTTTTCCTCAACGGAAGTCTTCAGGTTCGCCCTCTCTTCCTCAACTGTGGTCTTCAGGTTTCGCATATCGGCTTTGGTATCAGCAAATGATATGGTCAGATCAGCAACTTTTTCCGTGAGCTTGGTAACCAGGTCGTTCAGTAAGATTATGCTCTGCATTGATGAGTGGAGTAAATCCTTGAGGTCAGCCACATCGTCTTCGTCCTGAAATTTGACTAGGATAAACAAGGTTTTAGAAGAAATTCATGGTTAGATTTGAAGAACTTGTTGGTGACCAGGGTATTAAAAAGAATACGAGATATTAGCTATTAGACGAAGAACTCGCTTTTATATTTGGAACTACTAGTAAAGAAACCATAATAAGTTTAATATCTAACTTACTATGATGTTATTTCTGGGCGAGTTGTTAGTACTTGATACTGAAGCTAATAAGAGCATAAATCCAAGTATCATGTTTACTGGAGCGGCCATTAGAAGAAGCTGATTATTCTTCCTTCAAGGTTGAATTTTACAGAAAATTTCTTAGTTTTCAATATTTATCATCACTCAATTTTGTGAACGTACTGTTTAAAGGGAAAAAAGCTTCTGAATCATAACGGATCTGAAGATGCTTTAAATCTCAGATCATACAGAAACATTTGATAAATAATAGGTGAACGTTGACGTGTTCAAAAATTGTAAGCGCGTACAGAAACTTTCGTAAAACTAAAACTACACGGAGAAAAGTTGCAACCCTAGGGAATCTTATATTGGCTGAATCAAACTTCGGTAAAGATCTCGAATAAAAGCACTGACACTCCGGCTCGGATAATACGTTGTGGATGGATTTACAGTGCCCTAATTCAAAACATAATTAGCCTAAACCTAGTGAACCTATTGATAAGTTTAGAAGTAGGCATCTTAACTGTCATCACCCAATCTGCGGACCATCTCCTTGACTATGTTTTCGGTTATCGAAATTATGTGTGAAAATTTGGCGTCTCCTCATCTAGAAAAAATGAAGAAAACAGAAAGACTTACTAATACTCGTGTTACTGGCACGCCCGTTTTTATCAGACCGAATTGTGATATTATTTCACTATTTTGCAATAAGAGCTTTGACGGTGGAATCAGCTTGAGTGGTTATTTTGCAATAGTCTAAACGCGATGGTAAGCGCTAACTAACATTACATATCAATATAGTTAGCACTTACAGCGCTAACTATGACGTTGCGCTTATTAGCGCCACATAGTGCTAGATTGCGCTAGCTGTCGATACGTAAAGCTAGTTAGCGCGTTTAGACTATCGCAAAAAAATCGTTTGAGTTAATCTCTTAATTCTCCCAGGAGAAGCAATAGAGATTGTTTGTAAGCGAGAATGTGTTAATTGACCCTAAGATTTGAAGGAGAATGCGCGATTTGTCGCGGATAACTGAACGAATCGCGATTCCGCACATGCCGCGATTTCCTTTTGTCCTTTCAAAGGACCCTGTGCCTAGAAAAAATTGTAGACACCAAACTGCATACTCGATTTCACTTACCTTCTAGAGTATTTTATGTTTTTTACTCGCACCCCAAAGCTTTGATTTTGTCTTTTATATGATAAGAAGAATACTGATATTTACCGGTTTGTAATTTAAAACGATACGTTTCAAATGCCTATGATGCCTATACAATATAAATACATGCTGCACCACTAATTAGGATTTCTAATAATTATAATTATGAAGTAGAAATATCAACATAGCTTAGTAAAAGCAAAAAAACGTAACATATTTACCCATAGTTGGTTCGTGCGTCAATTTTTCGGGAAAAGTACGTAAAGTGCGTTTGAATTATTTAGTGCGTTAAAAGTGCGTTTAAGTACGTTTAGTTTTACCGTTGAATTCACCAGCATTTTCTGTAGACTGCAGCAGTGTAGTGAACAGATCTTACACGTTCTGGAAAATTCGCTCTTATATCACGTTACAGTTTACACTCAGTCCAGAGGCAACGCCCGCAACACTGCACACGCACACTGGCATTCCAAAAATAGCTACTGTAAGGCTCACCAATGACAGTTTATGTGAAATCTTGGAAATAACACTGTCTGATGTTTTGAACTGTGTATTCAAAAATGAAAAAATCGAAAATGGCCCAGCGAGTGTAGGTAAAAGTGCGTTTTACGTTTTTTCGTACGTTAAGTGCGTTATGTTTTAAAAGTACGTTAAGTGCGCACGAACCAACTATGGTTCAAATCAATTTTATTAACAATAAAACTTCGCTAATTTCATTAATATTTGTACTTCAATGAACTTAACTCTGTTGACCAACTGTTTATATCAGTCGCATACTAATTTTCCCTGCCTACACCCGTCACTCGTCAGCACTTCTAAACCCCCTCGCTGGCTGACGGGAGGGGGGTAAATAGTCTTTATAAGAAACAAAATACTAATTTGAAAGGCTCATATTAAATTAAGGCGAGGAACTTACTGGAATACTTATGACTGGAAAGATTAAAGCATCCGGGCGGAACCGGCTTATTAGACTTTGTTTATCAGCACTGCTCTGAAACATTGAAACAAACTTATAGACTGCACTGACCCGAGAAAGATATCGCTCCTTCGATCGTTTTCCGTTATATCTCCCTGAATTTCCCCGAGTCCCAGAGTTTTGTTAATTAAAGGTCAACGTATATTCCATTTCTGGTATAATTCTACCATTAACAAATTTACTATATGTCTTCTATGGAAATGGTTGTTAACTATTATAAGCCTTATTATAAGTCATTTAACTATCTTTAAAGGAAGATTGAAATTAATATAGAATTTAGAGGATCCTTACATTAAAGTCATGGTCAACATTTTAGAATAACATCATCCATCATAAAATAGATGTATCTAATTCGTTGACTTTTTTAATCGTAGGCTGATTTTGACAACCGTTAAATTTAAAAATAAATAACCAGCTGACTTAATTAAAG